GCTGTGTGACATCAGGAAAGTGACTTAACATCTCTGATCCTCATTTGTAAACTGTGAACAACAATACCCATCTATATTGTTGTATTTACTTGTGGATTACTTAAAATAGATGGGAGTTTGCCTAAATAGGGCCAGCCTAGCATTTTAGTAAAGACTGAATATGTGTTAATTTCCCCATTCCCCCACTTTCTGATAGCACAGTTGCAAACAAACTTATGGAAAACATGATAGGAACTGATACAGTTCTTGGAACAGACCCATCTGCCTTGCAGCTGTCCTCAGCATTCCTGGCTTGTGCCCCATAGCTCCCAGTTGGCCATTTCTCACCCTTTCTTCACCACCTCTCCCAGCTCCTGTTTTCCCATGGCCTTGACATCCTCATTATTGAGGCTCCATTTGATCCCACGCTCTCCAGTCATTTCTCTCTGGATCCATTCAGCCGCAGTTCCCCCTGTGAACTGCTCCCATTTCCAGTGTTTCCACACTCCAGTTCCCAAGAAATCTGATTGCTACAATGCAATGTCAAGACACTTTCTGGAGAAAAGAAAGGAGGATGTGTGTGTCCTCATTTAAGAACAGCTTGCTAATTTCTAATTTTTCATTTTCCTCCTTTACTGGAAACAAAGCAAGATTTGCACCGGTGAAGAGCTATTTTTATGAAAATATGCATCCCTGAAGATCTAGTTGGAATCAATGCTGTCCTGTAATCCTGAGTTCTGGCCAAGGAAAAGATAAATAGTGTAAAAAAGTAGGACTGGGCACGGTGGCTCACACCTGTAATCCCAGCACTTTGCGGGGCCGAGGCAGGTGGATCGCCTAAGCTCAGGAGTTCGAGACCAGTCTGGGAAACATGGCAAAACCCCTTCTCTGCCAAAAATGCAAAAAATTAGCCAGGCATGGTGGCGCATGCCTGTGATCCCAGCTACTCAGGGGTCTAAGATGAGAGGATTGCTTGAAACCGGGATGCAGAGGTTGCAGTGAGCCAAGATCGCACCACTGCCTTCTAGCCTGGGTGACAGAATGAGACCCTGTCTCAAAAAAAAAAAAAGGTAGCCAGGCACAGTGTTGTGTGCCTGTAGTCCTAGCTACGTGGGAGGCTCAGGCAGGAGGATCACTTGAGCCCAGGAGTTCAAAGCCAGGCTGGGCAACATAGAGAGACCTCATTTCTTTAAAAAAAAAAAAAACAGTCATCGATACGTTCTAGGGCCTTTAACTCTCTTCTAATGGAATACTCTTTAGGAATTCCCTTTTTCAGATCAAAGAGAAGAAAATAAAAGCTGGTTTTTTTCATCCTTATATAAGTGTACTGCTGTATTTTAACTGTGCTTTTTGTTCAAAAGACAGCATGATGTTACATAATTAATTCAGAAACCTTTGATAACCAAAGCAATTATGGAAAATTAAGAGTGAATTTAAATATATTTCTAAATCTCATAGCTTTGTATAGTTCAACAAGCTATCTGAGTGTGTCTGTGTGTGTGTGTGTGTGTGTGTCACGGGAGATCTTGGCACATTTCTTAACTTCTCTGAGCTTTAGAGTCCTCTCTTATGTAATGGAAACAGTTTTATAGTATATTTTTTATAATATATTATATAGCCGGGCGCAGTGGCTCATGCCTGTAATCCCAGCACTTTGGGAGGCCGAGGCGGGCGGATCACAAGGTCAGGAGATCGAGACCATCCTGGCTAACTTGGTTTAGTAGAAACCCCGTCTCTACTAAAAATACAAAAAATTAGCCGGGTTTGGTGGCGGGCGCCTGTAGTCCCAGCTACTGGGGAGGGTGAGGCAGGAGAATGGCGTGAACCTAGGAGGCGGAGCTTGCAGTGAGCCGAGATCGCGCCGCTGCACTCCAGCCTGGGTGACAGAGCGAGACTCAGTCTCAAAAAAATATATATATATACACACACACAAAATATATATTTTTAGTTATCTTATATAATATATATTTTAGCTACAATGTATTATATATATTTTAGTTATAATATATTATATAATATATATTTTAGTTATAATGTATTATACAATACATATTTTTGTTATATATATTTGTTATAGTATATTATATATATTTTGTTATATAATATATATTTTAGTTATAATATATTTATATTTTTGTTAATATAATATATAATATATATTTTAGTTATATAATATATTTTTGTTATATAATATATGTATATTTATTATATATATGAAGATGAAATTCGATTATTTATGTAATTTATATAAAGTGTCCACTGATTCCCTAGTTTGGTACAATTATGGCAACCCCAGTAAGAGGAACTAACATTTCCCAACCATCAGATAGTACCGGGAAGGTGAAAGATCAACAGTAACACTCAAGGGATTTCTAGGGGTTCCTGACGGTAAACCCTCACACACTTGTCTTGGATTCACTGCACCTGTCTTTCACTCAGGGATCAGCAAGGCTTGGGCTTCAGCTACCCTTTGTGTTTCAGCAACATATGGAGCTAAAAAGATTTGTGGGATTAACCCGGGAAATCAAACACCCTCTGTAAATTCATTATACGTTACGTGGAAAATGTGAAATGCGTTTCAAACAAATGATGCGTGACCATGTATTAGTCTGTCCTCGCAATGCTACAGAAAAATACCTGGGATTGGGTAATTTTTAAAGAAAAGAGGTTTAATTGGCTCATGGTTCTGCAGGCTGTGCAGGAAATATGATGCTGGCATCTGCTCAGCTTCTGGGGAGGCCTCAGGAAACTTCCAATCATGGTGGAAGGAAAAGGGGGAGCAAGGTGTCTCACGTGATAGGAATAGAAGCAAGAAAGCAAGCAGGGGGAAGCCACACTTTTTTTTTTTTTTTTTTTTTTTTTGAGAGGGAGTCTCACTTTGTCACCCAATCTGAAGTGCAGTGGCACGATCTTGGCTCACTGCAGCCTCTGCCTCCCAGGTTCAAGCAATTCTCATGCCTCAGCCTCCCTAATAGCTGGGATTACAGGTGCCTGCCACCACACCCGGCTAGTTTTTATATTTTTGGTAGAGATGGGATTTCGCCATGTTGGCCAGGCTGGTCTTGAACTCCTGACTTGAGGTGATCCACCTGCCTCAACCTCCCAAAGTGCTGGGATTACAGGCATGAGCCAGTGTGCCCAACCAGCCACACACTTTTAAACAACCAGATCTCAACCAGCCTAAAAATACACAAATTAGCCGGGCGTGGTGGCGGACACCTGTAATCTCAGATACTTGGGAGGCCGAGGCAGGAGAATCACTTGAACCTGGGAGGCAGAGGTTGCAGTGAGCCAAGATTGTGTCTCTGCACTCCAGCCTGGGCAACTGAGTGACACTCTGTCTCAAAAAAAAAAAATAAATAATAAATAATAAATAAACAACCAGATCTCATGAGAACTCACTTTCTCCATGACAGCACAAAGCAGGATGGTGTTACACCATGAGAAACTGTCCCCATAATCCAATCACCTCCCACAAGACCCCACCTCCAGCATTAGGGGTTACATTTCAACATGAGATGTGGGCGGCGACATAGATCCCAACCATGTCAGACCCAAAGCTTGATTTTTAAAACAGAAACCATTTATTAAATGGGACCATCTGAATTTAGAAATGGGATGAATGCTTCCTAGGTAATTTTGATAGGCACAACTGGGTTTGGGTGCTCCTGGCTTCTGGTGGGTAGAAGCCAGGGATGCTGCAAAGCATTCTATAATACACAGGACAGCCCCCCACAACAGAGGATTACCCAACCCCAAAATGTTAATATTGTCAAGGTTGAGAAACTTGGGTCTATATACATTTGGATGTAGATTACATTTTTACAAACTTTGGATACTTTTTGGAATCTGACCTTTCAGGTGCTAATGCCACGGGCATCTTTCCATGTACGTGAATATTCCAAATGTCAACCTCAAAACAATGGGTACATAATATTCCATGAAATGGTTGGCTATGCCACATTCTACTTACCTGACTTCCGGTGCTGGGCATTTAGGTTGTTTTCTCTTTGTTTTTTGTTCGTTTGTTGAGACAGCGGCTCACTCTGTTGCCCAAGCTGAAGTGCTGCAGTCATGGATCACGGCAGCCTCAACCTCCCAGGCTAAAGCAATCCTCCCAACTCAGCCTCCCAAGTAGCTGGAAGTAAAGGCATTCACCACCATGCCTGGCTAATTTTTGTTCTCTGGGGTTTTTTTGGTAGAGTTGGAGTTTCACCATGTTGAAGCTGGTCGTGAGCTCAAGGAATCCACCCACCTTGGACCCCCAGAGTGCTGGGATTACTGGCATGAGCTACCACATCTGGCCCTCTTTGCTGTTCTTATAGACAATATATGATGAATATTGTTTACCTCCATCTTTGTGTACTGGTCCCATTCTTTTCTTAGGATGAATCATCAAAAATGAGATTGCTCAGTTGAAAGCAATAGAAAGCTGGCATCAGATCAGGCATGGTGGCTCATACCTATAATCCCAGCACTTTGGGAGGTCAAAGCAGGTGCATTGCTTGAGCCCAGGAGTTTGAGGCCAGCCCGGGCAACATGGCGAAACCCCATCTCTACTAAAAATACCAAATTTAGCCGGGCGTGGTGGTGCATGCCTGTAATCCCAGATACTCAGGAGGCTGAGGTAGAAGGATCACCTGAGCCTTGGGAGGTCAGGGCTGCAGTGAGCCATGTGGGGGTCAATGCACTCCAGCCTGGGCAATAGAGCAAGACCTTGTCTCAAATAAATAAATAAATAAATAAATAGCTGGCACCAGCTTGTACTCCTGCCAGTAAAACCGGATCATGCCTACTTGCCTACAACTTTGCTGACACTGGGTTTTCCCGTGTTTAAAATCTACAGTGTCCTCGTGGTGCCCCAGTTGGTCTGTCCAGACACAGTGTTCCGGGGTGGTCTGGCTAGGATGGGGCTAAGGTCCTGGCACTACCTCTGTTAGGGACATTGGGCATCAGTCAGGGCAGAATTCTCATGATGTCAGCTGTCACCAGGGATTTCTCATTGTCTTTGTTTACTGCAGGATCCAGACACATTAGTCAACCCGCAGCCAAAGTCGACGTTGAATTTGATTATGATGGGCCTCTGATGAAGACGGAAGTCCCAGGGCCTAGATCTCGGGTGAGTTGAGCACACCTGAGTGGGGTATTTTGGAAAAGGGAGAAAGCGGCCTAAGAAGCAAGAGCACAGCCAAGCTTAGGGACCTGTATTGATTGTCAGCTGCTTTCAGAGAGTTCATCACCAGAGATCCGAGATATTCAATTAGGCCATTTTGCCGTAAGACACCAAAGAAGGGCTGGGAGCGGTGGCTCAAGCCTGTAATCCCAGCACTTTGGGAGGTCGAGGCGGGAGGATCACTTGAGGTCAGGAGTTCAAGACCAGCCTGGCCAACATAGTGAAACCCTGTCTCTACTCAAAATACAAAAATTGGCTAGGAGTGGTGGCGCACGCCTGTAGTCCCAGCTACTCAGGAGGCTGAGGCAAGGCAATCACTTGAATCCGGGAGGCAGAGTTTGCAGTGAGCTGAGATGGTGCCTCTGCACTCCAACCTGGGCGACAGAGCAAGACTCCATCTCAAAAAAAAAAAAAAGAAGCCAACGAAGGCATAACAGAGGAGATGTATCAGTTTTCTGTTACCACAGTAATGCTTCATAACAAACAGCCACAGAAATCCCACTAACATAGAGCAAGCCAATTGCTCATGCACTTAAGGTTCGTTGGGAGTTGGGTAGGCAACTCTGTTGGGCTCACCTGTATGCCTGGGGGATGGCTGGCTGTTGGTTGATCTAGGTTAGGTATGGCTTGAATCACTGAAGTGATTTGGTTCTCTTCCATGTGTCTGCCATGTTCCAGAAGGCTAGACGGGGCTTGTCCTCATGGCAATGACAAAGGTGTACAAAAGCAAGAGGAGAACATGCTACAGTTCTACTGAGGCCTGGGTGCTGTATGGGTCTGCCATCACTGCTGCCTCCTTTTGCTGGCCAAAGCAAGTCATAGCTTGCCTTAAGTCCAGAGTCAAGGGCTGGGGTACAACATCCAACCAACAGTGGAAGAACATGGCAGTGTTACATGGCACAGGGCTCAGAGATCAAATGCCCTTGAACTTGGTCTTGAAACCTTTCTAATACAAATTTATTTTTTCTTTGCATATTTTGCATATTTCATCCGTAATGTCTTTTTTTTTTTTTTTACTGTCAAAACATACTTCTTTTGTCATTGCAACTATTTTATAAATCCAGAAATCTTTGTACTAATATAAGTGATTGTAGTTATTTTGAATAGTGTTTTGCTAACAAATGGGAGAGATTTTAAATGCATATTTCTATTGGGGAGATAGATTTTAATCTAGTAGTAGTAAAATTCTTGGAATACCTCTTCATATTTTTTTCATAAATATTATCCTGTGTTTTTATGTGGAAATATATAATTTTATGACACTAACTGGTAACATCTATTTTACGTTGAATTACTTTTGGAGTTGAAATCTTTGTAATATCAAAGCAGCTAGTTTCTAATTCCCTGTTTCTGTATAGAATAAAGTACAAGTGGTTTATGGAGTGTTTGGATTATAATTATAAATGGTTGTTTGATATGCAAGTTAATATTTTCAGTTATTTATATTCTTAATGAGGTGTTAACACCCTTCCCCAAATAACAGAGAATCTGTGTTTTTATGGACACTAGATAAACACCTTCAGCTTGAGATTTTCTTGCTAAATATTTTAGTTTATTTTATCTTTCAGGTGTCTGAATTTCAGCCTGTCTATTGTACTAGTAATTTAAGTGTGTAATGGAATAGTTTCCTGTCAACTATTTATATCAAGTAATTTTTAAAGTAATATTATTGACTAATAAAATATTAAGTTATAGAAAATGTCAAGACTTGGGAAAACATGAAAGACTTTAAGCTATTTTGGCAAAAAAGAGTGTGGACTTGCTATAATGCTTTTTTTCTTCTTGCCTGCAGGCGTTAATGAAACAGCTGAATATAATTCAGGTGAGTGAGGATGAGGTAACGTTCCTTGTGTTGCTTCTTTATCACAACTGAGTTAAAAGACAGATGCTTAATCTGTTCTGGCTCTTGTTTTAAAATAATGTAGTTGGCTTTTGTTCTAAATATTTTTTCTCATTTCCTTTGTGATTTCTTCTTTGACCCGTTGGTTATTTACCTGATGTTTAATTTCCACACTTTGGTAAATTTCCCAAATTTCTTTCTGTTATTGATTTCTGGTTTCATTCCATTATGGTTGGAAAGCACATTTTTGTGATTTCAGTCCTGTTAAATTTATTGAGCCTTTTTTTATGGTCTAGCATATGGTCTATCCTGGAGAATATTCCCTCTGTACTTGAGAAGAATCTGTATTCCTCTGTTGTTGGGCAGAGTGTTCCATAGATGTTTGTTAGGTCGGTTGCTTTTAGAATATTGTTCAAATCTTCTGTTTCCTTGCTCACCTTCTGCTTAGTTGTCCTATCCATTATGGAGTGCCAGATGTTGACATCTTCAACTATTATTATCAAACTATTTTTCCCTTTGATTCTGTTTTTGCTCTATGTGTTAAGGGCTCTGATGTTAGGTGCAAATATGTTTATAATTGTCATATCTTCTTAGTGGATTGACCCTTTATAATATTAATATTATAATATTCTCTCTTTAGTAACGTTTTTATAGCCTATTTTTTCTGATATGAGTACAACCCCTTCTAGCTTTCTTACGGTTGCTGTGTGCATCAGATACCTTTCTCCATCGTTTTACTTTCAAACTGTTTGTGTTCTTGAATCTAAAGTGTCTTCTGTAAACAGCATAGAGTTGGTTCTTTTTATCCAGTCTGACAGTCTCTGCCTTTTGATTGGATTGTTGAATCCATTCACAGTTAATGTTATTATTCATATGGTTGTGTTTACAGCTGCCATTTATTGTTGTTCTCTATATGTTTTCTTTGTTTTGTTCTTTTGTTCCTCTCTTTTTTTTTTTTTTGAGACGGAGTCTTGCTCTGTCACCCAGGCTGGAGTGCAGTGGTGAGATCTCGGCTCACTGCAAGCTCCGCCTCCCGGGTTCACGCCATTCTCCTGCCTCAGCCTCCCGAGTAGCTGGGACTACAGGCGCCCGCCACCGCGCCCGGCTATTTTTTTTTTTTTTTTTGTATTTTAGTAGAGACAGGGTTTCACTGTGTTAGCCAAGATGGTCTCAATCTCCTGACCTCGTGATCTGCCCGTCTCAGCCTCCCAAAGTGTTGAGATTACAGGGGTGAGCCACCGCGCCCAGCCTTTTTTTTGTATTTTAATGGAGTTTTTCTCTTATTGCCCAGGCTAGAGTGCAGTGGTGCAATCTCGGCTCACTGCAACCTCCGCCTTCCAGTTTCAAGAGATTCTCCTGCCTCAGCCTCCCAAGTCTCTGGGACTACAGGCGCCTGCTACCACGCCCAGTTAATTTTTTTGTATTTTTAGTAGAGACGGGGTTTCACCACGTTGGTCAGGCTGGTCTCGAACTGCTGACCTCGTGATTCACCTGCCTCAGCCTCCCAAAGCGCTGGGATTACAGGCATGAGCCACCCCATCCAACCCCTTTTTTTTTTTTTTTTTTTTTGAGATGAAGTCTCACTCTGTCACCCAGGCTGGTGTGCAGTGGCACAATCTCAGCTCACTGCAACTTCCACCTCCTGGGTTCAAGCAATTCTCCTGCCTCAGTCTCCCAAGTAGCTGGGATTATAGGTGCCCGCTACCACACCTGGCTAATTTTTGTATTTTTAGTAGAGATGGGGTTTCACCATGTCGCCCAAGCTGGTCTCGAACTCCTGACTTCAAATAATCCACCTGCCTTGGCCTCCCAAAGTGCTGGGATTACAGGCATGAGCCACTGCGCTCAGCTCTCTTGTCATGTTTTTTATTTTGCATTAAGTGAGTACTTTCCAGTGTAACATTTTTATTTATTTAACGATTACTATATATTTTTAGTTTTCTTTGAGGTTGCTCTGAGGTTTACCATACATATCTTAACAGAATCAACTTCAGATTTGTATCTCTTTTTGTGTTCTGATGTATAAAACTCATACAGAAAAATTCATGAAATATAAAATCACAGCTTACTGAACTATTATAAAGCAAACCACCCATGCCCTTAGCCAAAGCAAGAAATACATTGCCGGCACCCACAGATGCCCCTATGTATCCACAGATAGTCACGATATGGTGTACTTCACTGATTCAAGCTTAATCCTGAAAGACCAAGAATCGAGGGAGTGGCGGTGAGCCTGAGTTAGTCTCTTTTTTTCTCCAAGAATGCAGAGGCTGTGCATTTTTTCTGCAATTACGAAGAGAGCCGAGGCAATTACCTGGTTGATGTGGACGGCAACCGAATGCTGGATCTTTATTGCCAGATCTCCTCTGTCCCCATAGGTAAGAGCTGGGAAATCACTCCTTGGAGATAACCTCTGTTTCTCTCTCTCCTAGTTGTGGCTATCCAGGTATTAGGATGTGGCTTCCAGCAGGCACATCCCAGGGTGTTGCCTGACAGTTTGCTCAGGGGTAGGAAAAAAATAAGTAATGTGTAAAGGGCATATTATTAGACATATTATATGTCCTCTCTCATCTACTCCTTCCCCAAATTCTACAAGGTAAGTATGTATTAATATCCCCATTTTGCAGACAGGTAAACAAAGCGTAGAAAGGTTTGGTACCTTGCATAGGAATCATAGCTAGAACGCAAACCCATTGGTGTGACGACAGTGGCCCCCAGGTAGGTGTCTTAGGTTGAGGGTCCTCGAAGAAGAACCTGAGGTGAGGATTTCCTTTTTCCCCTGCTTTTTTTTTTTTTTTTTTTTTTCAGACGGAGTCTTGCTCTGTCGACCAGGCTCGAGTGAAGTGGCACAATCTTGGTTCACTGCAACCTCTACCTCCCGAGTTCAAGCGATTCTCGTGCCTCAGCCTCCCAAGTAGCTGGGATTACAGGCTCGCGCCACCATGCCTATCTAATTTTTGTATTTTTAGTAGAGACGGACTTTCACCACGTTGGCCAGGATAGTCTAGAACTCCTGAGTGCAAGTGATCTGCCTGCCTCAGCCTCCCACAGTGCTGGGATTATAGGTGTGAGCCACTACGCCCAGCCTAATTTTTTTTTTTTTTTTAGAGACAGGGTCTCACTATGCTGTCCAGGCTGGTCTCAAACTCCTGGACTCAAGTGATCCTCCCACCTCGGCCTCCCAAAGTGCTAGGATTACAGATGTGAGCCACTGAAACCAGCCAGAGGTAGGGATTCTTGGGCAGGTTGTTGATTGAGGGAGAGCTCTCAGGAGAAAGGGGAGGAAAGGAAAGAGCCTAGGGCAGGGGGAAGAAGCTAAGAAGGAAGGTCTCAGCTGGAACTATCCACAGCCTGACACCACTTGGGGCTCTGGAGCATGCACCACACCCCACAGTTGGTCTCTGAATGAAGGAAAGGGTCTGGCTTTTTATGCCCCTTCACCAGCCAGTCATCACCCATCAGCTGCCAGAGGGGAGAACTTGTATAATCTCCTCGGCAAAGCGGCTTCCATTTGCCAAGGGCCGTTTTCCAGGCAAGGAGGCAGCTGGAGTTATTATCAACCAACACACAGAGCAGCTGGGAAACAGTGACCTGCCCAGTAAAAGTGACCTTGCTGGGACGCCCACAGCCTCTGCCTCCCAGGGTCACCTCCCAGCCCCCAATCAGCATTCCCTCTGGACCCTGCTCAGCAGCCTGGAGCCTTTCCTTGAGACCCAGCCTTGGCTGTCCACACCGCTTCTTCTTCCCCTGCTCGTTTCCTCACACCTATTAATTTCCCACTAAGATGCTATTAGACAATAAGTGGACTCATTCTTTTGGGGAAGTCCATCATTCAGGAATGCCTCAGCCATGGAAGGCATTTTGGAGACAAAGATTTACAAAACCCCATCTCCCCTTTGTGTGGGAGTGGAAGGGATGGGCTCTTGACTTGTCCTGGGTTCAAATCCTGGCTCCACTATATATTAGCTGTGGGATTGTGACCCACCCCCCAGGAGTCCCTCAGTCTGAATGCTCAGCTAGCCACTGTGTGCATGAAGGTCAGGGAATCAGATTAGCAGCGTTTGTTAAAAAAAACTAGAAGTTTGGTCAGGCACGGTGGCGCATGCTGGTAATCCCAGCACTTTGGGAGGCCAAAGGAAGAGGATTGCTTGAGGCCGGGAGTTTAAGACCAATCTGGGCATTATAGTGAGACCCAACCCCAATCTCTACAAAATATTTTTTAAAATTAGCTAGGCATGCCTACAGGTGTATGCCTGTAGTCCCAGCTACTCTGGAGGCTCAGTCAGGAGGATCGCTGGAGCCCAGGAGTTTGAGGCTGCAGTGGGCTATGATCACACCACTGCACTTCAGCCTGGGCAACAGTGCAAGACCCTGTCTCAGTAAAAAACAAAAACGGAAACATTCTAGAAGTTCTAAAAGTTCTCTTTCTGGCTACCTGTCCTCCCATATCTGTAGTCTTCAAAAAGATTTTTTTAAGTTGATATTTATTGAGAATTTACTATGCATCTGGCATGTTGCCAAGTGCCTTATATGTTATCTCATTAAATGGCTACAACTGCCTTAGAGTAGGGTCTTTTAACATCACCTCCAGTTGACTGATGGGCCCAAGTTTGAGGAGCTTACAGGGTTTTCCCGGCATACACAGGGAATCCAAGGCTAAGCCAGTGTGTGAACAAATGACTCTGTGCCTCCCAAGCTTATTTCTATGGTAGCTGCCTTGTAGACACCTGCCCCTGCCCTGCCCTGAAATGTGGGGGTCCCACAGCATCAAAAGCCCAAGGCAGGATTTCCCCGATCAGAGGGACCAGCTCTGCTCTCATCTCTTCTTCAGAAGCCAGTAAGGCACACCGCATCTGAGGCTAAATGAGGTTTACCTGGAAGGGGCTTATCTCTCCAGAGGCAAAAAAAGGTCATGAACACACAGGCAGTGTTGATAAGGAGCCAGGGCTTAAAGACCTTTGGCCCGGAAACAGTTGGAGAAACCCAGAGTGTTCCTTTTTTGAGTAAGGCGCACTTTTCAGTCTTGGGCCCAGCATGTTGGAGTAGGATGGGGGAGTGCCAGGGATGAATGTTAATAGTCCTCCCCACCTTTGTCCCCCTTTGTCACTCTCCCATCTATCTTCTCGACCAGGCAGCGTGGAACCCCAAGGCATTTCAAATCACTTTCACTTTTCTATTCTATTAGGAGAAAGTCTGCCCTGGGTGATGCCAGGTCTTTAATACCTGTCTCCACTGGCTGATCTCTTACTGTGGAGGAGCGCGTGGCCCAGGCTCAGAGGCTTGGGCAGGCAACAGAAAGATTGTGCCCATGGCATTCAACCTCTGGCCACACTGATATAAAGTCTCCTTTGAAAGTAAATGTATTTGGCCGGGCACCGTGGTTCATGCCTGTAATCCCAACATTTTGGGAGGCTAAGACAGGAAGATAGCTTGAGCTCAGGAGTTTGAGACCAGCCTGGCCAGCATGGTGAAACCCTGTCTACAAAAATAAAAAACAAAAAGTAGCCGGGCATGGTGGTACACACCTGTAATCCCAGCTATTCAGGAGGCTGAAGTGGGAGGATTACTTAAGCTGGGGAGGTTGAGGCCGCAATGAGCCGTGATTACACCACTGCACTCCAGCCTGGGCAACAGAGTGAGACCCTGTCTCAAACAAACAAACAAACAAACAAAACAGTAAAAAAAAGAAAAGCTTCAAGGGGAGAATTCTGAGATTAGCTGGTGATGTTCAAATTCAGCAGGAGTTAGTATGAACCTTATGGTGGAAATTCAGGCCATGACATCAGCAAGCTCGTTTTGCACAAACTCCAGTTGACCATCTTGGTCCCCCTATGGCTTCCAGACACATGAAAGTGAGGATGCATTCATCAGGGTGAGAGCTGTGATTTTTGGAAACTCAAGTCAAACACATGAGGTCAGCTGCTGAGTTCTTTTCGCAGAGAGAGACACTGCTGCCCTCTTGTTCTCCAACCTTATGTGTAATTGTCTCCCAGGACTGACTGGGAGATGATCTGCAGGGCAGGTGCATTAATTACCAGGAGATAGAAAGTGGCTTGACTTCAGGTCGGGTGCGGTGGCTCACACCTGTAATCCTAGCACTTTGGAAGGCCGAGGTGGGTGGATCACTTGAGGACAGGAGTTCAAGACCAACCTGACCAACATGGTGAAACCCCGTATCTACTAAAAATACAAAAAAATTAGCCAGGCATGGTGGCACACACCTGTAAACCCAGCTACTCCGGAGGCTGAGGCACGAGAATCGCTTGAACCTGGGAGGCAGAGGTCACAATGAGCCAAGATTGTGCCACTGCACTCCAGCCTGGGCAACAAGGCAAGACTGCTGAAAAGAAGAGGGGGGTGGGGAGGGGAGGGGAGCTTGACTTGTTAGGGGAGGCCAACATGCAATAGAATGGTTAAGAATGTCTTTCAAAAAGCCCTGGAAGATTACAACAATCTCGCTTGAGTCTAACATAACTACAGAGTAATCCTTATTAATTAACTTCAAATATTTTAATTTTAATTTTTTTTCTTTTTTTATTTCTTCTTTTTTAAAAAATGGGATACATGTGTAGAACCTGCAGGTTTGTTACATAGGTATACGTGTGCCGTGGTGGTGTGCTGCACCTATTGTCTCGTTATTTTAATTTTTAATAGAGTGGGGAACCGTGTCTTTCCCAAGCCTGAGCCCCATCTCAGTTCCTCTCCCAGAAGCAACCATTATTATCAGCTTCTTCTAGAGAGAGATTCAGTGAGTGTGTAAGCACCCACATATCCTGTGTCTTTCCTTCTTCACTTAGCAGATCTCAGAGATTATTCTAACTCAGCACAAATAAATCTCTCTCACCCTTTTCTACAGCTGATTCGTTACATTAGAAGGCTTATTTCCCTGACCCACTATTGATGGATGGTAGGTTGCTTTCAAGTCTTGAGATATGAGTGTCACAGTAAGATCCATGCTCATAGATCTTTATACACACTGTAGGATAAATTCATAGAAGAGCAATTGCTGAATCCGAGTGTGCTAAGCCTTGTCGTGCAATGTCAGGCCCAGTCCGGACGGTAAATGCCGTGGGACTCTGGGAATAAGCAGATGTATGAAGGCAGGACGAGGCCTGCGGGTCACAGATTGCAGGTGGCATCACTACTCACTCAGTCCCTGAGCAAACATTCGTCGAGATTTGACTCAGCCAGTGGGCGCTGGGAAGGAAGGTGAGGATCTTCTCTGCAATTCGGTACTCGGGACTGTTGAACCACACTCCCCAGTCAGCCCCGGGCTTGAAATTTTCTTACATTTATCTCCTTTTTAATATTTTATTTTATTTTATTTATTTTATATTTTATTTTATTTTATATTTTCTATTCTATTCTATTCTATTCTATTCTATTCTATTCTGTTCTGTTCTATTCTATTTTATTTTATTTTGAAATGGAGTCTCACTGTCACCCAGGCTGGAGTACAGTGGCACAATCTCAACTCACTGCAACCTCCACCTCTCGGGTTCAAGCGATTCTCCTGCCTCAGCCTCCTGAGTAGCTGGGATTACAGGAACACAGCATCACACCCAGCTAATTTTTGTATGTTTAGTAGAGATGGGGATTCACTATGTTGGCCAGGCTTGTCTGGAACTCCTGACCTCAGGTGATCTGCCTGCCTCAGCCTCCCGAGTAGCTGGGATTACAGGCACGTGCCACCACGCCCGGCATTTTTGTATTTTTAGTAGAGATGGGGTTTCGCCATGTTGGCCAGGCTGCTCTGGAACTCCTGACCTCAGGTGATCCGCCTGCCTCAGCCTCCCGAAGGGCTGGGATGACAGGCGTGAGCCACCATGCCCGGTGCATTTATCTCGCTTTATGTTTATGTAGTCCAGTAGGTCTCAAACCTGAACAAGCATCAAAATCTCCTAGAGAATTTGTTGGATTTCTAGGCTGCCCCCTGAGAGATTCTGAGTCAGGGGTGTTAGGTGGGGCACCAGTAATCTCTTTTTGTCAACAAAGGATAAAAGACCCTTTGGTGTTTAAAGAGAGTTGCGGGGTTGGAAAGGAAGGGAGAGGGAAGGAGAGGAGGGAGGGGCATGGAGAACCCGTGGACGCAATGAGATCTCTAACAATACTCTCCTGCCCTCAGGTTACAGCCACCCCGCCCTGCTGAAACTCATCCAACAGCCTCAAAATGCGGTAGGTCTTGGGGTTACACAGAATAAAGACAAAATGTGTTCATGGCCATTCACAGAATCACTGGGCAGACTTTGGCAATAGTCCTTGCATTCATTCATTCCATAAATATTTATCGAGCCTGTACGATGTGCCAGGTATGTGGAATGCCTTGATGAATGAAAATGCAGTGCCCACATTCCCACGGAGGCAGTCAGTTAACCACACACATGAATAGAGGATTGCAACCATATTAAGTGCTACAGAGTAAGATAGGCAGTGCTTCGTGGGCATAAAAGAATGATGCTAACAGTTAATGTTTATGGAGAGCATAATTTGCACCCAACGCTGTGTTCAGCGCTTTCTAGCTATAATATTGACAAGTCTGTGAAGCAGGTACTCTTGTTATCCCCATTTTACAGATACAGAAACTGAGGCACAGAGTGGTTAAGTATTTGCCCAAGGTCACACAGCTAGTGGAGGCGCTGAGAAGAAACCCACAGGAGCTGAGTTATTTGCAGATGGAGAGGGTGGGTGTCAGGGAGGCTTCCCAGGGAAAAGACTTTTCAGCTGAGATCTGAAGGAAAGGAAGGTCTGGCAGGTCAGAAGTCGGAGGAATGGCCCCAGCAGGGAGAAGAGGGCAGCGGCGAGGGCAGCCGCGTGGCTGGAGCACAGAGAGTGGGGAGGGATCCAAGGAGGACTAGAGTAGCAGCAGGGCACATGGTTTTCAGACGCCCCCTAGACCGGGGTTCTGAACTCTCACACTGTTGACATCTGTAGCCAGATAATTCTGTGTTGCGAGGGGCTGTCCTGTGCATTGAAACACTGAGCGGCATCCCTGGACGCTACCCACTAAATGTCAGTAGCAACTCCCTCCTGAGGCTGTGACACCCAAAAAATGTCTGCAGACATGGCCAGATGTCCCCTGGTGCATACAGTCACCCCACGTGAGAACCCCTGCAATAGAAGACATTCATCTCTATCCTGAGAGAGGTAGAAAGCCATTGCACATTTACACTAAAGTATATGGCTGGTCACGGTGGCTCACACCTGTAATCTCAGCACTTTGGGAGGCTGAGGCGGGCAGAGCACTTGAGGTCAGGAGTTCGAGACCAGCCTGGCCAGCATGGTGAACCCCCGTCTCTACTAAAAATACGAAAATTAGCCAGGTGTGGTGGTGCAAGCCTGTAATCCCAGCTACTTGGGAGGCTGAGGCAGGAGAATCGCTTGAACCCAGGAGATGGAGGTTGCAGTGAGCTGAGATGGTGCCACTGCACTCCAGCTTAGGCGACAGAGGGAGACTTTACCTCCAAAAAATAATAATAATAATAATAATAATAATAATAATAATAAAAAGTATAACACCCATGCAGGCATGCATACAGCCTAAATGCACAACTCAATGAATTTCCCACGTAACCAGTGTTTCACAATTTTTTTTTGTTATTGGAATATCCCCTTAAGGAGCATTTTTAGACATTATTTTCCTAGTTGTTCCCTATCATGAAATTGTAATACAAAAATACAGTACATATGGAGTGTATCTATGTGTTGTATTTATGTCTGTGCTTTATATGGAACAGAGTAAGATTTTGTTTTTTTTTTTACTACCGTTGAGAATGAATGAGTTGTAGTGAGGAATCAGAACATGCCCCCACCTAGTTATTATTCCTTCCAGACAAATTAAGTAGACCACTCCGCTTACTTTTAACAGATTGCTGCATTTCTCCAGTTTTGTTTGCTTGTTTTTTTCTTGAGACAGAGTCTTGCTCTGCTGCCCAGGCTAGAGTGCAGGGGTGCAATCATGACTCACTGCACCCCGGGCTCAAGCGATCCTCCCACCTCAGCCTCCTGAGTTCCTGGGACTATAGGCGTGCACCGTCACCCCTGGCTAATTTTTTTTTTTTTGGTAGAGATGGGGTTTTACCATGTTGCCCAGGCTGGTCTCAAACTCCTGGGCTCAAGTGATCCTCCTGCCTCGGTCTCCCAAATTCCTGGGATTACAGGTGTGAGCCACCACACCCAGTTGTATTTCTCCAGTTCTTTACTGCATGTAAGGGGAGCTTTGCAGTGTGTATCTTTACCTTGTCTGGCTTATTTCATTCAAAATGATGTCTGGGTGATTCATCCTGGTGTGTAATCGCAGACCATCTATCCTCACAGCTTTAGAGCGCTCCCCTCTGCAGATATCCTGCAATCCTATTGTCCATGGGTATTTGCATAGCTCCAGTTCAGGGCTCTTATGAAGACCGCTGCTGTGGACGGTCGCGTGTGTGTCTTTTGCTGTACACATTTATGTGTTTCTGTTAGATACGAAGCTGGGAATGGAACTGCTGGCCATGTACAGCTCCTGCAGATCCTGCCAGACAGTTCTCCAAACTGATCGCACCAACTCCACTCCCACAGCTGGGGGAGGGTTCCAGTCTCGCCACATCCTCACCAACTCGGGGTATCACTGGAGGGTTTTTCTTTGACTCAGAGAGGAACATACTTATCCACACACGACAAGGAACTTGATCCCAAAAAGAAATCTAAGAAAGGCAGACGGAACAAAGACCCAATCCTGGTCAGAAGCAGGATCCCTAGCCCTAAAACGTTCTTCCCTTTAAATAAAGAGTAGGAGCTAATAGGAAAGAACCACATTTTCTTCTTTCTGAATGGGTGTGCCCTGCCTGGGAGGGGCCAGGGGACACTCTTGCCTCCAGTTAGTTGACAGGTTTAGGGGCTGCTGTAGAGGGAACTGGCGTTCTCCTGAAGGTGTCTGATGAGGCCCACTGCGGCCGGAGCCTCTCGAATGTGTTTACATCGAATGCCTGGCTTTGTTTTGAAACGTTGTGCAAATCCCAGATGCCTTGGCAGTTGGTGCTGAAAAAAAATGTGTCAACAAACATGTCAGACACATTTGCAGTGTCAACCGCCTCCAGAGGCAGAACCATCCTCAACAACACATGACGTCAAGGCCCAGAGATTCCGGCTGGGTGTGGTGGCTCATGCCTATAATCTCAGCACTCTGGGAGGCTGAGGCGGAAGAATCCCTGAGGCCAAGAGTTGGAGACCAGCCTGGGCAACATATCGAGAGCCTGTCTCTACAAAAACCGTTTTTAAAAAAATTAGCCGGGTGTGGTGGTGCATACGTGTAGTTCCAGCTACTCAGGAGGCTGAGGTGGGAGGATTGCTTGAGCCCAGGAAGTCATTACAGTGAGTTGTGATCTCGCCACTGCACTCCAGCCTGGGTGACAGAGTGAGACCTTGCCTCTAAAACAAAACAAAACAAAAATATATCCCAAAAAACAAAGGCCCAGGGGTTCTGATTTCAGGGGACAGTACTATCCTTTCCCTGCCGGGAGCTCCCCCAACTTTCCCTATTCCCCGCTAACCTTTCACCTCTCTCTCCCCTCTCACCTAGTCGGGGACTGGTTCTAACCCTCAAGTCTCCCACTTGGCTTTCTGCCAGCAACCTCTCCCCATCGATCCCTCCCACCTCCCTTCTCACCTCCTCCAAACCATCCTCCAAACTGCACCGTACGTGAAACCCTTCCCCGGTACTCACTGCCTTCCGGCTGTGTCCCAGTCTTCTCCACCTCCAATGCCAAGCCCTTGGAGAGCTGCCTCCCACTTTCTTCTTTAGCCTTATTGCTTGACATTTGCTCATTCATTGGTTATTGACTGAATGCTTCCAATGTGTCAAGTACTGTTTTCCGTGCTGGGATTTGATGGTGAATCCACATTCTCCATCCCAGTCTGGGCTGAGTTGTTCTGCAGAGGAACTGGGTTTGGGGCTTGATGAAAAGAGCACCCTGACGCAGTCTTAGAGAGGGGACAACTGACCTCCACGGGCTAAAAGGTTTTCAGCAGGACACGCCCAGGGCAGTAGGCTGGGCCACCATTGGCTGACATCTTGGGTCTTGCAAATTTTGGGCTAGAGATGCACTCAGGTGGTGGCGATGGTATTCTACTTGTACAGGGCAGGTTCCTGCCAGGTCACCAAAGTCCCGAGAAGGGGTTTATCAACCCTTTTGCACCCAAACCAAACCACCCTGAAACTCCAGCATCATTCCTTCATGTGACTCCCTAAAAATGAAACCACGTCCCTTAGATCTAATATCTGGATTCCAATTGTGATTTCTTTTTTCTTCTTCTTTCTTCCTTCTTCTTCCTTCTCCTTCTTCTTCTTCTCCTTTCTTCTTTCTTCTTTCTCTCTCTGTCACCCAGGCTAGAGTGGAGTGACTCGGTCATAGTTTATTGCAGCCTTGAGCTCCTGGACTCAAAAGATCCTCCCACCTCAGCCTCCTAAGTGACTGGGATTATAGGCGTGAGCCACTGTGCCCAACCTCCAGTTACTATTTCTTATGTCACCAGGACCATCTCATTACATTGCTCACAAGTTATACAATAATCATGGATATTGCATGTACACAGTCACATTGCAATGAATGCACATAGCACAGCGGGCCTTACCAAGTAAGACACCTGCCATCCTGTGACCTCTGGGTCTTTCCCTCTGCATCACTCTTCCTTTGAGACTGAACTCCTGCATCCTCTGTATGCCATATCATCTCACTGGCTCCTTACAAGCACCTAGTGAAGAGTCTCCAGTTTGGCACATGAGAAACCCAAAGCTCAGAGAGGTTAAGTGAGTTGCCCAAGGTTGCACAGCCACTTAAGCCAAAGCCAATTCTCTTCATGCTGCACCCTATGCCTACTGAGCTGACTGCAAGGGTTTAGAAACCTATCCTCATTTGATCCCGATCCCAGATATCTTCTGTTCTTAACGTCACGCTTTCTCGAGCAAGAACATCACCCCCACATCATTCCTAGATCCAGATAGGCTGTCAAGCTGCCAGCCAGCCCTGCTGTCCCCTTCTGGGAGCCACTTGCCTGCTGCCACTGAGGGCCAGCTTGCTTCCACCCTATTCTCATGATGTGATTTCTTAGGAGCCCTGCTAACAGGTCAGAGCCAGAAGGAAATGCTCCTTAAAGTCCCCTCCAAGGTTGGGCACAGTGGCTCACACTTGTAATCCCAGCACTTTGGGAGGCTGAGGCAGGAAGGTCGCTTGAGTCCAAGAGTTCAAGACCACCCTGGGCAACATGGCGAAACCCCATCTCTATAAAAAATACAAAAAATTAGCTGTGCGTGGTGGCGCGTGCCTGTAGTCCCAGCTACTTGGAAGGCTGAGGTGGGAGGATCACTTGAGCCTGCGAGGTCAAGGCTGCAGTAAGCTGATATCATGCTACTGCACTCCAACCTGAGAGACAGAGCAAGACCCTGTTTAAAAAAAAAAAAAAGCCTTTCCAGGCAAGCCAAGGTCTCTGGGTTGTGCCAAGCATGAGCATTTTCGGGTGGAGGCTACCTGGAGTATCTGACAGACAGTGGCATCTGAAGTCAGTAAACCTAGATTCGAGTTGTGGTTTTTCTCCTTCTTGGCTGTGTGACTTGGGGCGAGTTGTTTGACCTCTCTGGTCCTCAGTCTCCCCAACTCTACAATGAGGACAGTTAACTTCCTTTACTACTTATCCTATACCCAACTGAGTGATCACAAAGCAGAAAAAGCAAGAGGTAGGAATCTTCCAGTTTCTAGCAGCACAAGCCAAGTCCTAAAGCCCCTGGGAGAATCATCTCTGGGGACCCCTCTGCCCTTGGGTCTCCTCCTATACAGTGATGCTGCTTTTTGGATTTGCACTGAGTGCATTACACTGATTTTGCCCAAGAAACTCTTTCTCTACCCCAAAAGTCCCTTTCTGTACTTTAGGTAGAGAAAATGTTTCACCATGTTGGCCAGGCTGGTCTCGAACTCCTGGCCTCAAGCAATCCACCCACCTCGGCCTCCCAAAATGCAGGGATTATAGGCGTGAGGCATTGCACCCTGCCTGTTTTTTAGCCATTCTAATGGTTAAATATATAAAGAAAGAGACTTACAGGAAGTTGCAAAAACCAGTACAAAGAGCCCCATGTACCCTTCCCTCAGTTTTCCCCAGCGGCAGCAGCATCCTAGATAATGCCAATGCAACATTGCAACCAGGGTACACTGACCCTTTTTTAAAACATCCACAGCAATCCTAGCGGATTTCTCTAAAAGTTTGAGGAAACCTGCCATGCTCCACCCCGACAGAACGTCATCATCCTGCAACCCCATTCGGAGGCTTTTTGAACACAGGGACTCTGAAAAGCACCGTTTGTAGGCAGGGAGCTGGGTCAGGCCCCCAGAAGTCACCGTTTGTCTCTTGCCCTTTTGCAGAGCATGTTCGTCAACAGACCCGCCCTGGGAATCCTGCCTCCGGAGAACTTTGTGGAGAAGCTCCGGGAGTCCTTGCTCTCGGTCAGTTCTAGAGAAGCAATCCCAGTGTCTTCAGACGTGGTACTGGCAGGGGAAGGGAAAAGTGGAGATGCCAGCAATGAAGAATAAGGTGTTGCTACGGAAATCCTTCTCTCTGAGCTTATTCTTCCATGCAGAGTATTTTAAATTTTTCTTTTAAAGGACAGAAGGGATTCTTTGTGTGCAGGACAAAAGGAGCTGGGGAAATGAATATGAATATATGATAGGAGCCTTGCATATGTCATTCAATCCTGCCCTCACTTCTTGGTTCTAGTTACTACAAACAATTAAAGCCTTTGGGAACCTCCATGTCCCTCCTGGAACGTGTAGGTGTCTTAGACAATGGCAGGTGCATCAGGAGAGAGCTTTCCCCCCCCTTCTTTCCTCTCTGCCAGCCTCAGGGCCTCCCTAGGCATCTCTGCCACCTTTGGAAAAACTTGAGTCCACCCTCCCAGTCCGACACCTTCCAGGACAGCCCTGGTTCCGCCTATCCCTGGTATGGCCCCTGCGAAGATTCAGCTCCAGCCAGGGGAAGCCGGAGTACAGGAGTCATGATGAGCCTGGGCTCATGGCTGTTTCCCTACCCGCAGGTGGCTCCCAAAGGGATGTCCCAGCTCATCACCATGGCCTGCGGCTCCTGCTCCAATGAAAATGCCTTCAAGACCATCTTCATGTGGTACCGGGTGAGGTTTGGGGCACGCACACACACAGGCTCCCCAGCACCTCACCACACCTTCACTCCTTGTATGACTGTTCGTTCCAATGGGCTGGAATATTAGACGTCAGTACCAGGGTTAAAATACAGGGAGGGCCACTGCTGGATGGCACTTTCCAGATAGCCCAGTGGGGTATGGTGCAAAGGGCTGAGGCTTTGGCATCAAAACTATGCGATGTGGGCTGGGCACAGTGGTTCACGCATGTAATCCCAACACTCTGAGAGGCACAGGTGGGCGGATCACTTGAGTCCAGGAGCTTGAGACCAGCCTGGGCAACATGACGAAACCCCATCTCTACCAAAAAAAAATTCAAAAATTGGCCAGGCATGGTGGTGCATGCCTGTAGTCTCAACTATTCTGGAGGCTGAGGTGGAAGGATTGCTTGAGCCTGGGAGGTCAAGGCTGCAGTGAGCCATGGTTGTGCCACTGCATTTCAGCCTGGGTGACAGAGTGAGACCCTGTCTCAAAAAACAAAGAAACAAACAAACTATGCAGTGTGACTACTTTATTTTATATTATTTAAATATTTATATTTAATCTTGTTTAAATATTCTAAATTGCAGAGACAGAGCCCCACTTTCTTGCCCAGCCTGGTCTCAAACTCTTGGCCTCAAGCAGTCCTCCTGTCTTAGCCACCCAAAGTACTAGGATTACAGATTTGAGCCCGCACACCTGGCCTCCATTCTTCCTGGCAAAACATATACACTCTCAGCAGATCTTAATCCAACAGATCTAAATCGTTGCTGATGGTGCTTAATGCATTATGCATGTTAGTTTCTTTTGTTGCAAGCACAGCTGGTAGCCTCATGTTTCAGTACAGACCTGTAACAATTAATATGTGAGATCCACTCCTGAGAAAGCACTTTCTACTTGTCTGGACTGGATATTGGTTTGGTTGGAAAGTTGAAGCCCCGAATACCCCAGAGCATCTCTGAGATTTTGTTCTGTTCTATTGTTTCAGAGCAAGGAAAGAGGGCAGAGGGGCTTCTCGCAGGAGGAGCTGGAGACGTGCATGATTAACCAGGTGAGTGCAGCTGGGCTTGTACCACATACATCTGGGGAAGCTGCACAGCCTCTCCCGGGCTGTTGCCGGCTGGCTGGCACTGTCCTTCTCAATTAGGAAGGGCCAGGCTGGGCGCCGTGGCTCATGCCTGTAATCCCAGCACTTTGGGAGGCCAAGGCAGGTGGATCACCTGAGGTCAGGAGTTCCAGACCAGCCTGGCCAACATGGCGAAACCCTGTCTCTACTGAAAATACAAAAATTAGCCAGGTGTGGTGGTAGGTGCTTGCAATCCCAGCTACTCAGGAGGCTGAGGCAGGAGAATTGCTTGAACCTAGGAGGCAGAGTTTGTAGTGAGCTGCGATCACACCACTGCACTCCAGCCTGGGCGACAGAGCAAGACTCCATCTCAAAACAAAACAAAACAAAACACAACAACAACAACAAAGGAAGGGCCTCCAAGGTGTTCCCAGTCTCAAGTCCATTCTCTGGGTATCATGGCTGAGTGGAGGTTAGGCGCAGTGGCTCATGCCTGTAATCCCAGCACTTTGGGAGGCCAAGGCAGGTGGATCACCTGAGGTCAGGAGTTCGAGACCAGCCTGGCCAAGATGGTGAAACCCCGTCTCTACTAAAAAGACAAAAATTACCTGGGCGTGGTGGCGCACGCATGTAATCCCAGCTACTTGGGAGGCTGAGGCAGGAGAATCACTTGAACCCGGGAGGTGGATGTTGTAGTGAGCTGCGATCACACCACTGCACTCCAGCCTGGGCGACAGAGCAAGACTCCATCTCAAAACAAAACAAAACAAAACACAACAACAACAACAAAGGAAGGGCCTCCAAGGTGTTCCCAGTCTCAAGTCCATTCCCTGGGTATCATGGCTGAGTGGAGGTTAGGCGCAGTGGCTCACACTTGTAATCCCGGCACTTTGGGAGTCCAAGGCAGGCGGATCACTTGAGGTCAGGAGTTCAAGACCAACCTGGCCAACATGGTGAAACCCTGTCACTACTGAAAATACAAAAATTAGCCGAGCATGATGACACAGGCTTTTAGTCCCAGCTACTCGGGAGGCTGAGGCAGGAGAATCGCTTGAACCCGGGAGGCAGAGGTTGCAGTGAGCAGAGATTGAGCCACTGTACTTCCAGCCTGAGTGACAGAATGAGACCCCGTCTCAAAAAAAAAAAAAGCTGAGTGGAGATCTCCCTGACCAGCCTTCACCAGTTTCTTAGGACGACTGTCTGAATTTGACAGGTCTCCAAAGGCCATTAACATATTTTCTAGAATAATCCAAATTGTCAGCAGGAATGTATACGCATGGGTGTTCACCCCCTTGGTGTTTACAGTAAGAATAGCCAGAAAAGACTAGAAACCACCAATATTGGGGAAAGACTAATTAAATGTAGGGATTCGAAGTGGAACCAAGGAGACCACTGCTGGGGGTCAGAGGTGACCAGGGACCACAGGGAAAACCAGGTGGGTGAGATTCCAAGCTCCCCACCCAGCTTTGCCCAGAACAGGCCTGGCCTCCTCTGTTTTGTGTATGAGGTCCCATTAAGATTTAGACCGAAGGGTCTGCTGCTTTAGAAAAAAAACAAAAAGAAAATACTGTGTTATGATCACCTACAAACAAAAACAAAACAAAATAAGGCTGGGCATAGTGGCTTATGCACTTTTTAGTCCCAGCACTTTGGAAGGCCGAGGCAGGAGGATTGCTTGAGCCCAGGAGTTGGAGACCAACCTGGGCAACAAAGTGAGACTTTGGCTCAAAAAATAAAAAATTAAAAAAAAACAGGAGCCGCTGAACTTAATTACCCTCTGCTAACATTCTAATATTCTGCAGTAAAAATAGTTACTTAGGGTTTCTTTTGGCCTGGACGTGTTTGGTATAATTTTGTAAAAACAGTAGAATGTAAATTATATGGTCACTGGGCTCTCAAACATGTAAATGAATATACAGGAAAATACTAGATGGAATCCTGCCGGCATATTTACAATGGCTTGCCTCTGGGTGGTGAGCCAGGGTTTTTTTTTTTTAAATGCTTTCTTAATATATATTTTTTCCTAACCACACCTCTTGCTAGCAAATGTATCTACACCTTTCTCCATATTCAAATAAACTTACATAAATTTACACTAAAAATTTTTCTTGTTTTTTTTCCTGGCCCTTTTTTTTTTTTTTAAGGACCTTATCCTATCTCTCATTCTCTTTCTCTTATTTATTTTTTTTCCTGAGACAGGGTCTCACTCTGGTCCCCAGACTGCAGTGCCGTGGTGCGATCACGGCTCAATGCAGCCTCGACCTCCAAGGCTCAAGCAGTCCTCCTGCCTCAGTGTCCTGAGTAGCTGGGACTACAGGCACCTGCCACCATACCCAGCTAATTGTTTTAAAATTTTTATAGAGGCAGAGTCTCACTATGTTGCCCAGGCTGGTCTCGAACTTCTGAGCTCAAGTAATCCTCCCACCTCGGCTTCCCGAAGTGCTGAGATTAGAGGTGTGAGCCACCGTGCCCAGCCTCCTACGTCTTTCTCTAACTCTGCTTTTCCCACTCGATATCCATGGGCATCCTAGACCATCGACATTTTTGGATCTCACTCCTCATCATTCATGGCTGAATCCAAATATGCAAAATGATGTGTATATATTAATTACATGTACAATCAGAAGACAAATAAAAAAATGACAAGAGGCCAGGCACGGTGGCTTACACCTGTAATCCCAGCACTTTGGGAGGCCAAGGTGGGTGGATCACCTGAGGTCAGGAGTTCCAGACCAGCCTGGCCAACATGGCGAAACCCTGTCTCTACTAAAGATACAAAAATTAGCCGGACGTGGTGGCGGGTACCTATAATCCCAGCTACTTGGGAGGCTGAGGCAGCAGAATCACTTGAACCCAGGGGGAGCTGTGGTTGCAGTGAGCCAAGATCACACCACTGCACTCCAGCCTGGTGACGGAGCAAGACTCCATCTTAAAAAAAACAAAACAAACAAACAAACAAAACCACAAGAGGGTTTCTGGAAATTGTGGGAGGAGGAGGTCTTAGGGTTTTTTCCGGAGGTCTCAGGGAATTGGTGCTCAACCAACCTGAGACGATGCCAACCTCCTAGAGACTTGGGGGCCCCCACAGTTGCCTCTGAGGCACCTCTAGCAGCTCTGCCTGAGTCAGCTGGAAACATGTTGGGATTTCCTTGCTGGGTGCAGAGTCAGAAAACAATGCGAGGACTGGCAGCTGTGCCGTTTACTTGGGGCTGGGAAGGGATGGGGTGTCCATGCACCGCTCCTGAACCCAAGGCATAGCTACCATAGGAGAGCACCCGGTGGGGGCTTCCCCTCGACCGCTTTCTAGCACACAGACCCCTTCCAAAGGCCTGGGGGGGGGGGCGGTTCCTGCAAGGTGCCTGGCTCAGCCCCTTGCCTCAGGTCACCCTGGGAAGCAAGCGTGCACCCATCAGCCCCTGACCCGCTGACACCTGCAGAGGCCTGAGTAGCACGCAGCCAGGGGATGGGGAGGAAGTTGAAGAGCCTGTAGAACAGGGGCTGAAAACCCAGGAGTCCCCAGCGGCCAGAGGAAGGTGGGCAGTGGGTGCTGCTTGGTCACTTACGGTTACCACAGCAGGAAAATGGATCCAAACGGTGTAGCACTGGTGAGAAGAAGCCAGAAGTTCAGGTCTTTATGTGAAATTTCTTGATTTTAAATTTTGCAACTTTTTTTTGAGACAGAGTCTTGCTCTTGTTGACCAGGCTGGGGTGCAGTGGCGCGAACTCGGCTCACTGCAACCTCTGCCTCCCGGGTTCAAGCGATTCTCCTGTCTCAGCCTCCCAAGTAGCTGGGATTACAGGCCCCCACCATCATGCCTGGCTAATTTTTGTATTTTTAATAGAGACAGGGTTTCAGCATGTTGGCCAGGCTGATCCCAAACTCCTGACCTCCAATGATCCGCCTGCCTCAGCCTCCTAAAGTGCTGGGATTGTAGGCGCAAGCCACTGCACCCAGCCCAAATTTTGTGACTTAAAAAAAAAAAAATGTAAGTATGTATGCAAAATAAAACGTGTGTCTTGGATATAGACCCCAGTGGTCCCATGTGTAACTTCTGCCTGAGAAGGATTCCTGGTTCTTCTGATAGATTTCTGTGTCCCTCTGGACTTGCAGAGGCAACAATACAGTTCCCCCAACTTTACAACTGTGACTAATGACTGATATTTCTTGGTTTTAGGCCCCTGGCTGCCCCGACTACAGCATCCTCTCCTTCATGGGCGCGTTCCACGGGAGGACCATGGGTAAGGAGGGACCAGTATGCTCCCAAGGTGGTGTTTAGAATGATAATAATAAGAGCAACAATCGCGGCAGCTGACATTGGCAGTTTACACATATTGTCTCACCGATTCCACACAATCCCCTGCAGAGTGGGGATTATTATTCCTGTGTTGCAGATGTGGGAATCAGGGTTTGGGAAGAGGAAGGATTTCCAAGGCTATTCAGTGACAGATCCGGGATTTGAACTATTGACTCTGTCTTCAAAGCCTGCGCTGCATCTGTGATTAATCGCAGTGCAAACACATACCCACTCACGCATGCCAATTAAGGGTTCAAGAGTTCCCCCTTCAGCTTCCGGATGAGAACTGGGGTTCAGTATCAAAACATCTCATGTACTCCCCTACTATGTAGGGAGTACTACTGAGTAGTAGGTACTCATCTCATGTACCTACTATGCACCCAGAAAAACTAAAATTTAAACGATAAAAAGAACTGGGGTTTCACAGGCAACAGGCCCCCCTGCTCATCAACAGCCGCATGCTGAAATGCGTATCATCTCCTTTGCAAAGAGTACTGCCTGCTTCCCCAAGCCAAGTGTTTGCTTTTCTGTTTTGCTCAACTCAGGTTGCTTAGCGACCACGCACTCCAAAGCCATTCACAAGATTGACATCCCTTCCTTTGACTGGCCCATCGCGCCGTTCCCACGGCTGAAATACCCTCTGGAAGAGTTCGTGAAAGAGAACCAACAGGAGGAGGCCCGCTGTCTGGAAGAGGTAATGCTCATACCCTCCGGATCCTCCCTAACCACCAGTCCCGTTGCTCTTGCCGCCCCAAGACTTGGCCCAGGAGAAGAGAAACAGATGAAGCATTTATCTGGGGACCTGTGCAGAGCTCCCCCAGGGGGAAGTAGGGACACAGAGGCCTTGCATCCCAAATATTCCATATTGGGAGAGTTCATGAGACTCTGTCACAGCATCCATCACCCGACTCTGATACCAATTTCTGTATCACTTAAGTTTCTTGGAAGACAAGCATCAATGACTCTAAAGTAAGAGAAAATAGATCTGTTGAAAGAATATGAGGGCCGGGCGCAGTGGCTCTGCCTGTAATCCCAGCACTTTGGGAGGCTGAGATGGGCGGATCACCTGAGGTCGGGAGTTCGAGACAGCCTGGCTAACATGGAGAAACCACATCTCTACTAAAAATACAAAATTAGCCGGGCATGGTGGTGCATGCCTGTAATCCCAGCTACTCCGGAGGCCAAAGCAGGAGAATCACTTGAACCCGGGAGGTGATGGCTGCCGTGAGCTGAGATCACACTATTGCACTCCAGCCTGGGCAACAAGAGTGAAACTCCATCTAAAAAAAAAAAAAAAAAAAAGGAAAGAAAAAGAAAACAAAGAAAAGTATCTCAGAGCTTCCTTGGGGTGACTGGTGGAGACCTAGGTCAAAATCATATCACCCAAACAGAAGCTTTTCCTTAGCTGTACATAACAAAGAAAGATTTCACTTGTTAGTCTATCTAGGTGTACCATTTGGGGTTTTTCTTTTCTTTTTTTTTTTGAGACAGAGTTTCACTCTGTCACCCAGGCTGGAGTGCAGTGGCACGATATCTCGGCTCACTGCAACCTCTGCCTCCTGGGTTCAAGTGATTCTCGTGCCTCAGCCACTGGAGTAGCTGGGATTATAGGCATGCGCCACCATGCCCAACTAATCTTTGTATTTTTAGTAGAGATGAGGTTTCATGGTAGCCAGGCTGGTCTGGAACTCCTGACCTCAAGAGATCTGCCCGCCTTAGCTTCTCAAAGTGCTGGGATTACAGGTGTGAGCCACCGTGCCCGGCCTCTTTCTTTTTAATGAAGACACGATCTTGCTCTGTTGCACAGGCTGGAATGCAGTGATGTGGTCATAGCTCACTGTGATCTCACAGTCCTGGTTCAAGGGGTCCTCCCACCTCAGCCTCTCAGATAGCTGAGACTACAGGCACGCAGCCACCATGCCCAGCTAATTTTTAAATGTTTTGCAGAGATGAATCACACTATGTTGCACAGGCTGGTCTCAAACTCCTGGCCTCAAGCTATCCTTCCTGTCTCAACCTCCAAGAGTGCTGGGATTGCAGGTGTGAACGAACACACCTGGCCCTTAGAAAGTTTTTTTTTTTTTTTTTTTTTTTTTTGAGACGGAGTCTCGCTCTGTCGCCCAGGCTGGAGTGCAGTGGCACGATCTCGGCTCACTGCAAGCTCTGCCTCCCAGGTTCCGGCCATTCTCCTGCCTCAGCCTCCCGGGTAGCTGGGACTACAGGCGCTCGCCACATCGCCCGGCTAGTTTTATTTATTTATTTATTTATTTATTTATTTATTTATTTATTTTTTGAGACGGAGTCTCGCTCTGTAGCCCAGGCTGGAGTGCAGTGGCCAGATCTCAGCTCACTGCAAGCTCCGCCTCCCGGGTTCACGCCATTCTCCGGCCTCAGCCTCCCGAGTAGCTGGGACTACAGGCGCCCACCACCTCGCCCCGCCCGGCTAGTTTTTTGTATTTTTCAGGATGGTCTCGATCTCCTGACCTCGTGATCCACCCGTCTCGGCCTCCCAAAGTGCTGGGATTACAGGCTTGAGCCACCGCGCCCGGCCAGAACAGTTTTTTAACCAAGGATACATTTCCGATTCTGCCCCAAAAGGATTCTCACACCAATAATAGCAATAATACTATAAGAATAGGAACAATATTAATAATAATATAGTCGTGCTAATCGTAATAGTAGCGGCCACCACTTTTTGTGTGCCAGGCTCTGTGCTGTATTTTCTCTGTGTGCGTGTGTGAGTGCTCTCACCTTTATTTCTCTCAATATACCCGTGATATAGCTATTTCCCACATTACAAGGTTAAGTGACAGGTGCATGTTCCATGTAAAACAGAGGCAGAACCACAGCTAAAACATCTAGCTCAGCAATCGACTCATAGTGCTACATTTTCTCATTCAGTCCACTTCACAACCCTGGAAGGTGGATTCTGTCTGTGTGCCCATACAACACATCAGGAAAGTGAGGCTTCTGAAGGCTAAATTACTTGCCCCAAGTTATTAGTTTGTATCCACCCAGGTGCTAGCACCAATCTCAAGGAGGATACATTCCCATCCACACACATAGCTTCTAACAGAGGCTTCACTGGTCTTAGGAGATGCACATACACACATTTCCAATAAAACTGCACGGGGCTCATTGGACCCCAGATTCCCACCCACGGATACTGGTCACAAGCCTCTGCCAGCGGTGGTGACTTGCCCCTTTGGGATCCAGGTGGAGGATCTGATTGTGAAATATCGGAAAAAGAAGAAGACGGTGGCCGGGATCATCGTGGAGCCCATCCAGTCTGAGGGTGGAGACAACCATGCGTCTGATGACTTCTTTCGGAAGCTGAGAGACATTGCCAGGAAGGTCAGTGGGCGGGGCTGAGGTTGGATAGAGCCATAGGGCCTTCTGGGTTGAGTTCCCAGATTAAAGGGCTAGCAGCACCTCTGCTTTGGAGTTCCTGTCAACCTCCAGACTTGCAGAGGCTGTCTGTCAGCATCAGGGGTGGAGAAGTTGGGGTTGGCGGAAGAATGGGGATTCTTCCCTGAAACTACACACACACACATATACACACACACACACACACACATACATATATATAATTATTTATTTTTTTTTCTTTTTGAGACAGAGTCTTACTCTGTCACCCAGGCTGGAGTGCAGCGGCGCGATCTCAGCGCACTGCAACCTCCACCTCCCAGGTTCAAGCGATTCTCCCACCTCAGCCTTCCAAGTAGCCGGGACTATAGGTGCGCGCCCCCATACCCAACTAATTTTTGTATTTCTAGTAGAGATGAGGTTTCACCATGTTGGCCAGGCTGGTCTCGAACTCCTGACCTCAGGTGATCTGCCCACCTCGGCCTCCCAAAGTGCTGGGATTATAGGCCTAAGCCACCACACTTGGTCTTAAAATCTTTTTAAAATATCTTTATGGATACATAATAGTTGCAATGCATAATGATCAAATCTGGGTAATTGGATATCCATCACCTAAAACATTTATCATCTCTTTGTATTGGGAATATTCCAAATCCACTCCTAGTTATTTTGAAATATACAATAAATTATTAACTATAATCACCCTATTGTGCTACTGGACCCTAGATCTTATTCTTCTATCTAACTGTACTTTTGTATCCATTAACAAACCCCTATTTATCTCTACCTCCCCATTAGCCTTGCCAGCCTCTGATAGCCATCATTCTACTCTCTTTCTTCATAAGGGAAATGTTTTTAGTCCCCACATAAGTGAGAACCTGCAACATTTGCCAATGTCTGGCTTATGTCTCTTAACATAATGTCCTGTAGTTCCATCCACGTCATTGCTAATGACATAATTTCATTCTTTTTACGGCTGAATAGTATTCCATTGTGTATATGTACCCTATTTTCTTTTTCTTTCTTTTTTTTTTGAGACAGTCTCACTCTGTTGCCCAGGCTGGAGTGCAGTGGCACGATTTTGGCTCACTGTAACCTCCGCCTCCTGGGTCCAAGTGATTCTTCTGCCTCAGCCTCATGAGTAGCTGGGATTTCAGGTGTGCGCCACCACGCCCGGCTAATTTTTGCATTTTTAATAGAGATGGGGTTTGCCATGTTGGCCAGGCTGGTCTCAAACTCCTGACCTCAGGTGATCTGCCTGCCTCAGCCTCCCAAAGTGCTGGAATTACAGGCGTGAGCCACTGCACCTGGCCGATGGTGTATATGTACCATATTTACTTTATCCATTCCTCTGTTGATGGACAGATTGATTCTGTATCTTGGCTATTGTGAACAGTGCTGCAGTAAACATGGGGATGCAGGTATCTCTTTGATACACTGATTTCCTTTCTTTACGTTTTGTGTTTGTTTTAATGTCTTGTGCATATATAACTGGCAATCAAACCGATAAGTTCACAGATAAAAGTTATAAGACATGAGTTGACTTAACACAGACGCCAAGTTAGAAATAGCCCTGGTGACAAGCAGAGCACGGCAGCTGAATTCTGAGAAGCACAGTCGAGGCCTCCCTGTTGGACACAGCTCCCTCTGACGAGGTTGAGACCCGAGACCGAAGCCAGATGGCATACCGCTCTGTGTTGGTGCAGGGAGTATTTAATGTTCTGGATTTTTTTTTGGTCCAGCTTAGCAGTTTTAGGAAACACTCAGATACAGCTCTTGTTGGAACTGCTCAGCTTAAGTGTTTTGATTAGTTTTTCTGTGCACAGCGCAAGAACATGGGGCTGGTTTGCTGTTCAGAAAACAAGCACGACGTGTGTGGACCCAGGGTTTGGCAGGTGGTTGGCTACAGAGGGCATGAGTTTCTGGCCTCCCACAGGTGTTTATTTCTCCCTCCTCTCTCTTCTCCGGCCAGCATGGCTGCGCCTTCTTGGTGGATGAGGTCCAGACCGGAGGTGGCTGCACAGGCAAGTTCTGGGCCCATGAGCACTGGGGCTTGGATGACCCAGCAGACGTGATGACCTTCAGCAAGAAGATGATGATTGGGGGCTTCTTCCACAAGGAGGAGTTCAGGCCCAATGCTGTGAGTTGGATCCAGCCTTCTCTCTACATCAAGGGCAGAGAAGGGAGCATCCTCTTCTCCTAACTGTTCCTTTCTCACCATCGAGGAGCTGGGTGGGCACCTACTGGGTCGCAGGTTTTCTAAGGCCCAGTTCTTATCAATGCAATTAGCAGTGGTGTGCCCTCCCAGCTCTCTCTGTAAGGCTGACTCTGGAACAGTCCACCATCAGCCTTCTCCTGATTTCTCTCTGTATGCACACACAATAATATCATTGACAGCTGCCGTAGCAGACTGAGCATTTGCTGTGTGCCTATTTCTAAGTATTTCTCATACACTTTTAATCCTGAGAACAATCTAACCAAGTAGGTGTTATTTTTATCCGCATTTTACTAATGATGAATTAGGCACAGAGAGGTTAAGTCATTTGTCAAAGGTCACACAGCCTGTTAAGTGACAAAGCCAGGACTCCAACCCAGAGTCCATACTCTTACCCACTACACTGTGTACTGCCATGTGTGCATACAGAGTCTCACACACACACACACACACACGCACACACACACACACAGAGCCATCAGGGGCCAATGTTCTTTCACCATTCCTACATGTAGTTTCCACCCTCAAGGTTGCCTCATGGTCCAAAATGGCTTCTGGTGCTCCAGCTATCACATCTCAATTCTAGACAGTAGGAAAGTAAAGGAAGGGAAGGACCAAGTGGCCCCCTTCTTTCTTTAGCAGCCTTCCTAGAAATCTCACATAACACGTCTATTTCCAATACTTGACTAAAACCCAGTCACGTGGCCACTTCTAGCCATAAGGGACGCTGGGAAGGGTGTTTTCGTTGGCTACGTGGCCACCCTGAATCGTTCATGGAGGGCCCAAGTGGGTGATCTTTGAGGGTCACTGCCGGCAATCCAGTCCCAACTCCACCTCTAAGTCACATTTGCCTTGGACAAATCACTTAGCCTCCCAGAATCTCTGCTTCCTTCTCTATAAAATGAGGGTTATAGGAGTTAAGGAACCAACTGTCTTGGTTTCCTGGGACTGAGGGATTTCCCAGGGCATGGGACGATTTGATCTCCCCTTAGCAGTTCCTACCTGCAGGGCTGTTGTTGGAAGAATTCCGTGAGACTGGGTGTGTTCTCCTGCTAGCCTCTGGCAGACGCCCACTAGGTTAGTTTCTCTCCTGTTCGAGAGAGGAGGAGGGGTGCCTGGGGGAAGTGACCCCTGCAGGGTGTGCATATGCATGAACCCTTCCAACACCCCTTCCTCGTTCCAGCCTTACCGGATCTTCAACACCTGGCTGGGGGACCCGTCCAAGAACCTACTGCTGGCTGAGGTCATCAACATCATCAAGCGAGAGGACCTGCTAAATAACGCAGCCCATGCCGGGAAGGTCCTGCTCACGGGATTGCTGGACCTCCAGGTACCACCCTCTCCCCTGCCTAGCCCCCACCACCCATGGCTCCCTGCAGCCTCCAGGGCAACACTGGAGCCCTTCAGCATGGCGTTGCACCTGCTGTTCCAGCAATTCACAATGGGCTGTGCTGCTCCTAGCCTCCGGGGCTTTGCACGTGCTGTGTCCTCTGCAGGGAATGCCTCTCCATCCCTCCATCCCATTCCAACCCGTTCCTGAACTCCTAGTTTTGTTTTGTTGATTTTTTTAATATTGAGACATGGTCTAGCTATGTTAGCCAGTCTGGCCTTGAACTCCTGGCCTCAAGCAATCCTCCCACCTCAGCCTCCCAAAGTGCTGGGCAGCGCCTGCCGGCACTGGTTATCTTTTTTATTTATTTTATTTATTTGTTTTTTAATTTATTTTTCAAGACCAAGTCTTGTTCTGTCACCCAGGCTGGAGTGCAGTGGCGCAATCTCAGCTCACTGCAACCGCTGCCTCCTGGGTTCAAGAGATTCTCTGGCCTCAGCCTCCTGAGTAGCTGGGATTACAGACGTCCGCCACCCCACCCAGCTATTTTTTTGTATTTTGAGTAGAGATGGGGTTTCACCATGTTGGCCAGGCTGGTCTCAAACTCCTGACCTCAGGTAATCCACTCGCCTCAGCTTTCCAAAGTGCTGGGATTACAAGAATGGGCTACTGCGCCCGGCCCTGGTTATCTTTTGACACCAAATTCAGACATCCCCCCTTTATGAAGCCCCCAAGCACTCCTTCTCTCACCCCCTCTGATGTGCTCATTATTCCCTCCTCTGTGCAACCTGTTGCATATTTACCACTCATCAGCACTGCTATCCACTGCTGGGACTGGATTACTCTCCACCCTCAAGGTTTCATCATGGGCCAAAATGGCTCCTGGAGCTCCAGCCATCACATCTCAATTCCAGGCAACAAGAAGGAAAAAGAAGGGAAGGACAGAGTGGCCCCCTTCTTGTCTTTAGCAGCCTTCCCAGAAATCTCACATAACACCTCCAACACTTGACAAAGAGCTGGTCACGTGGTTACTCCTAACTGCAAGGAGGTGTGTGGATGTGTGTGTGTCAGTGTGGCACACAGGCCTGAAGGGGTGTCTAAATGGAAGAGACATTATTCTGAACCTCCCCAGGGCCATACTGTGGTGGGAGAGGGAGGGGTGTGTTCAAACTGCCGGCTCCCCAGCAATCGACAAGTGCAGGGCACATGCTAGAATAAGTGCTGGAAGGACTTCTGAGCCTCAGTTTCCTCATCTGTGTAGACCAAAGTGGGCCCTTCTTCACTGGCAGGGGATTCAAGGGTGTCCCCACTACCAGGCACAGGGGTTCATGCCTGTAACCCCAGCACTTAGGGGGGCAAAAGCAGGAGGATTGCCTTCAGCCCAACTGAGTTCGAGACCAGCCTGGGCAACATAGTGAGACCCCGTCCTCCACAAAAAGAAAGAAAAAAATTGTGTATGTGTCTAACACAGTGCCTGGCCCTGTCTCCGCCAGAAGAGGACCGTGTCTCCAGTTTCTACTAAGGAGCTGCTGTGAAATAAGACTTGCTCCCCCAACTCAGCCCCCAGTACCCTGAAATTATTTGGGGTTTTCCAAGCCCTTGTTTGCTGTCCTTCACATGGACAGTGGAGAGTAAGGGGAAATCAAGGTCCTCCAGACTAGGCATCTGCATTTGCCTCCTTGTCTGCTATAAGAAATCACCACAAACTGCGTGGGTTAAAACAAGAATTTATGCTCTCACAGTTCGGAGGGCAGGGTCTGAAATCAAGGTTTCAGCAGAGTTGGCTCCTTCTGGAGGCTCTGGGGAAGAATCTGATCCATGCCCCTCTCCACCTTCTCATGGCTGCCAGGAATCCTTCATGATCCTTGACCTATGGAGGCTTCACTCTGCTTCCGGGATCACTTGGCTTTCTCCCCACTGTGCCTGTGTCTGTCTCCAAATTGTCTTCTTTTTATAAAGATACCAGTCATTGAGCTGGGCGCAGTGGCTCACGCCTGTAATCCCAGCACTTTGGGAGGCCAAGGCAGGTAGATCACTTGAGATCAGGAGTTCGAGACCAGCCTGGCCAACATTGTGAAACCCCGTCTCTACTAAAAAAAAAAAAAAAAAAAAAAAAAAATCAGCCAGAGGTAGTGGCGGGTGCCTGTAATCCCAGCTACTCAGGAGGCTGAGGCACAAGAATCTTCGGACCCGGGAGGTGGAGGTTGCAGTGAGCCGAGATCGTGCCACTGCACGATCCAACAGCATTTAAATCCTTCAGTTTACAGCAGGGGAAACAGAGGTACTTGAGTCGCCCAAGGTTAGGCAGTGAGAAAGAGACAACGCTGGGCTTCATTATTGTTGTTGGTGGTGTTTTTTTTTCCCTCGACACAACACAGATGTGAACAGCTGGGCTTTGAACCCAGGCCTGAATGTCACCAGAGCTCTTAACCCCCTGGAGGTCCTGCCAGTCCATGCAGAGGCCAAGGCTGGACCATGGAAGGCCTTTGACGAAGCACAGCCATTAAGCCCAGCTGGTACACGGGTGATGGGCTTTGACGCTGGCCTTGTCTCCCCCCACTGCAGGCCCGGTACCCCCAGTTCATCAGCAGGGTGAGAGGACGAGGCACCTTTTGCTCCTTCGATACTCCCGATGATTCCGTACGGAATAAGCTCATTTTAATTGCCAGAAACAAAGGTAAGGGGCCAGGAGTGGCTGCTGAGTTTCATCAGCGTCCAGTATATCCTGCTGTAGCTGCAAAATGTTGCTAGGTACTCAGCAATATTTTGCGTGGGGGGCAAGTGGTACACAGGTCTGAAAATAGCCTGAATGCTGCTTCTCCAGGGAACGTTACGAATGGGATTTCTTTATCCATTTATTTACTCAACAAGTGTTCGCTGAGAAGGTGAGTTGTAAGTGGAGACAGTTACAGTGATGATGAAGACCATCAGAGCCCCTCCCTTCAGGAAGCATGCAGTCTAGCAGGAAGGCGTGGCTTTACACATGGCATTTCACAAACAATCCATTGCAATTTTAAGTCCTGGGAAGGGGAAAACGCGGCTAAGAGAGCAAATAGCTGCAGCAGTTGGTGAGGCTAGGAAATCAGGGAAGGCTTCCTTGAGGAAGTAGCATTTTACCCTGAGTCTTGATGAACAGGGATTGGCCGGGTGAAGGTAAGGAAGAGCATTCTGGGCAGAGGGAAGGGTGCTTGCCATGGCCTGAGGTGGGATGGAGCTTACAGAGGTGGTAAAAGGGAAAGAAGGGGGCATGAAGGTGAACGGATGGGAGGGGACGAAGCTGGGGGAGGAGAGGCCAGGCCCGGGTCACGTGGGCCTGCAGATCCGGCTTAGCTCTTGAGATTTCACCCTAGGAGCTATGGGAAGCCACTGAGGACAGTGTGGCAGGGGTAAGGGCAGATGCTGTGGTGAGATCAGAACACGTACTCTATGTCAGGCACATTGTCAGGTCGTCTTCTTGTGCCATCTTATAGAATCCTTGCAGCAGCCTCGGAAGGGCAGGGATAATCAACCTCCATTTTAAAAATGAGAAAACGTGGTCTCAAAGGCATAAACAGGCTGGGTGCAGTGGCTCACGCCTGTAATCCCAGCACTTTGGAAGGCCAAGGTGGGCAGATCAGCTGAAGTCAGGAGTTCGAGACCAATCTGGCCAACACGGCAAAACCTCATCTCTACTAAAAATACAAAAATTAGTTGGCCATGGTGGTGGGCGCCTGTAATCCCAGCTACTTGGGAGACTGAGGCAGGAGAATTGCTTGAACCTGGGAGGTGCAGGTTGCAGTGAGCGAAATCGTGCCACTGCACCCCAACCTGGGTGACACAGCGAGACTCCATCTCTTAAAAAAAAAAAAAAAAAAAAAGCATACACAACCTCGACAAGGAAAGGACACCAGCTGTAACTGGTGAAGTCACCCTTTAAAATAAGCAGAGCCTGTTCCTCCTCCGTGATAGCTCAGCACCCCGCACGTGCTTCCGACTCAGTCTGTGCTTTTGCAACTTATCTGCTTATTTTCTTTCCCCACCCCTCCATGACTTTCTAGAAGGCAAGGACTTTATCTTGGGATCTCTCTATCACCAGACCTAGTCCAGGGGCAGCAAAGCAGGCACTCAAAGAAGAGAGGGAGGGTGGAGGGAAGGAAAGGAAGAAGAGAATGATGGATGAGATGAATGAAGGGAGACAGAAAGGAAATGAAGGCTGGATGGGTGGGTGGTAGGAAGGACAAATGGAAGCCTGGGTTTCCACGATGGATGATGATGGATGGATGGATGGATGGATGGATGGATGGATGGATGGATGGATGAGCATCGCCAACGGGCATCACTTTCCTCCCAGCTCTCCCAGCACGCGACTTTGACAAACCATGCTCCTCACCTACCTCCTGCCTCTTCTTTCAGGTGTGGTGTTGGGGGGCTGCGGTGACAAATCTATTCGTTTCCGTCCCACGCTGGTCTTCAGGGATCACCATGCTCACCTGTTCCTCAATATTTTCAGTGACATCTTAGCAGACTTCAAGTAAAGAAGCCATTTCCACTACAGTGAGAAAGCCCCGATCTCAACAGTTGTCAAATTGATTAGTTTTGCCTAATTCATGTTTTCACTTAGAAGTATCAGAGGTGAATGCACAGTGAAGGGTGATTTGTGGGGAGGGAACGTTTTTGGTGGTCTTGGGGGAGGTGGGGGAGGGAAGGGCTGGTGTTGATTTTCCTCCCTGCAGAGCCAATGGTGCACATTGGTTTAAGCCCAGAGATCCTGCTTGAGCCCTGGACTCGTCTTGGGAAGGGCCATGGGAGGTCCTGGCTAGAGTTCTGCCCAACCTTGACCAACCCCAGCAATTTTTCCAAAAACCATTCAAGGGCATTACATTTGCTCCTGGGACTGGCAGCTGGGCCTCCTGGGTGCCAGTCCATCTCAAGTGCCATATTCTGTGATCACGGATGCTGGCTCCCCCTCGCCCTATGCAAGCAAACACGTTCCCACCTCCTCTCCCAGCCCCTGGAGCTCTGAGCACACCCCAAGCACGGTGCAGGGAGGGACTGGACAGATCTGAGGAAGGCCATAAAGTGGGGAGAAGAGGATTCAGCTCAGGGGTAAGGGAAGCGGTCCTGTGGCCCCCTGAAGATGAGAATCACTCCTCTCGGTGCACCTGGGGAGCCCCTAAACTGTGAATTCTGCCCTGGACAGGGCTTTGCCCTTGGAGGATCCCCAGGTGGCATCATCCATGGTTCTTACTTGGCATCCACCATTCCCCAAACTCCCTCCTCCCTGTTAAATGTCAACCTAGACCTGGACCTGGGTGGGAGGAAACTGTAGCCTGAGTGTCCACAAGGACACACGTGAGCCCCAGGGCTAGAAGCACAGGCCCGTCACCCCAGGGTCTGGGGCTGCAGAGCCATTGCATCATGTGTCCTAGGGCACCTTGGGGTCTGACTTTTGGCCCCCTCAGCCTGAGAGGCTCTTGCTGTCTTTTGCTCATCCACTTTCACACCGCTTCTGAGCAGACCCCCAGGAACAGCTTGGCTGTCCCACCAGAGGGAATCATTGCTGGACTGGATTTCTGCTTGAGGGAAGCACCATGAATTAAAGGCGCTAGAGCTCCATGCATGGAAAAGTGGCCTGTTGGTTCAACGTGGTTTCCTTGTACTTGATCCTCCCGAAATCAGAGATTTTCCTGAGATGACCAAGTGTGGAGATTACCAGGCAGATGATACCGAAATGCTTAACGGGGCTGTGGCTGAGCCTCTAGTATCTCTGCTGGAGGTGAGACACTCTGGGAACTGATTTGACCTCAAATGCTCCTAAAAGAGAACTTGATACCTGACACCAATGAAGTATTATTTGGTGGGGAGACTGAGAAAGCCTGGCTTGTATTATCTGTCCGAAAGGAAGCCTCTTCATCTCCGGGTGCCTTGGTTGACTATTTTGGAAATAGGCATATCAAGGTTCCTGATTCAGCACTTTGCTCTTTTAATAAGAAATCGTCCAAAGATCTCAAAGTAGGGTTTTTTTTCTTTTTTCTTTTTTTTTTTTTAGCTTCCAGTCTTCCGCATACTTGGTCATCGACCTATTTTTGTTGAGGAATGAAAGGCAATGACAAGTTTAACATACACAAATTTGTGAGTTCTTGTTCATTTTGCATTCCTGCAGTCAGTGCTAATCTGTCGTTCTTAATCAGTTCTGTCACCTGCACTCCCAGCGAAGTGGTGACGTATGCCTCCCACTCTCTGCAAGGTTTTACTCGTTTTTATATTCATTTATGCATCATTCATTCATTCACCATGTATTCACTCACCTAACTTTCATGAAATACCTGCACCATCCCAGGCCCTGTACCGAGCAGCAGGAATACAAAGATGAGACAAAACATTGTCCCTGCTCCCGGGGGCTCACATCCCACTGGGAACAACCAGACTCGTAAACTAACAATTCAAGCAGGCACCAAGGGCTATGACAGAGGTGCGAGTAAGAGCATGAGGAAGTCGGAGGGAGCACCACCATTCATCCAAGGGTCAGAGGAGGTTTCAAGGAAAAGGTGTCACTGGAGCAGTGTTTTGCAGAATGAGCCAGAGTTTACCAAGCAGACAAGGCAAGGAAGGGTGTTGCAGAGAGGGAACAGCGTATGCAAAGGCATATCAGTTCATGACTTCACATCTTTCACTGGGGAGCCAGATTCCACAGGCAGTATCCCAAGGTTCAATAAGGCCTTATTTAACAAGCAAGCAAAATGCAAACCAAACCATTCTTCATTTATTGGCTTAAGTATGCTTTCTCCTGAAAACTTTAGCACTGGGTGCAAATATTCAGTATGGTTCTCGGAGTCCAAAGGGTTTTAAGCCAGGGCACAACCAGAAAATTGGCTCTCGCCGGTAGGGAGAGGGGCTCCAATATTTCGTTCTCTCCCCGTGGGGCATCGACAGAGAAATGAAATCGTTTTATCTGGAAAATTCCAGATTTATTATTTACCCCTTACCAAGGGAAGTTACTTCTTGTAAAAACTTTTAAGCCATTTATCAACAAGTTCTTGTTGACTCAGGGCATAATGAGTTCCTGAGACATCCTCTTTCGGGGGGTGGGGGTTTAGCTGGAAGAATTTCAAGGAAAAGAATTCTCAGCACAGCTCAAGATTGTAGAAACTCAGCAGAAGCTGGTAAAAACATGGGGAGCCCGGAGGACAGGCTGCTGTCCAGGGCAGGGGCCATGAAGAAGGGCTTCCGTGGCCGACAGTCTGGAAATGAATCCATCATACATTAGTGCCATTGAGTTTAGTAACCGTCCAGCAAGTGGCGTCACTTTTACAGAAAACAAGGTCCAGTAATAGCAAGTCTTAGTACATCCTCACTTTTATTATAAATGGGTGTTTTTTTATAATTTTTACTGACGCTCAGTAACCATGCAAAATTGTGCATAGCATTAATGTATCTATATACCTATCTATATCTATATATGAGCTCATGGTAGAAAACCATAGCTAGGTAGCATCGCAGACTTACGCATACAAAGTGATCTTGTTTACAGGTAATCTGTTGACAGTGCCAATAAATGATAAAAAAAAAAATTAACATGTCACAATGTAACTGTTGACCATATGCACAATTCCATGAATTAAATCTGTTTCCTGTGTTAGTCAGTATTCTTAAATAAAAGAAATTTATAATTGAAACAGGAGTGAATGTGGACTTTTTTGGTGGAAATGGTTTTGTTAAATAATTAGGTGCCGGTACGTATTAAATGCCTGTTATATACCTCTTAGGGATGTCTTGGGAAACACTCTACATGCGTAATTCTGCCTTGGGATCGGGAAGCACTGTAAGGCCATGCATTTCATTAAGTAAATCGAGGACATGCTATGTGACAGGGACACAGGGATGGACAAGATGTGGTCCCTACTCGCAGCTCACGTTCTCTTTTTTTTTTTTTGAGACAGAGTCTAGTTCTTTCACCCAGGCTAGAGTGCAGTGGCATGATCTTGGCTCACAGCAACCTCCATCTCCCAGGTTCAGGTGATTTTCCTGCCTCAGTCTCCCCAGTGGCTGGGATTACAGGCATGCACCACCCCCACCTAGCTAATTTTTGTATTTCTAGTAGAGATGGGGTTTCGCCATGTTGGACAGGCCGGTCTCGAACTCCTGAGCTCAGGTGATCCACCTGCCTCAGCCTCCCAAAGTGCTGGGATTACAGGCATGAACCACTGGGGGCCTGTCTTCTATATTCCGTCCTTCCCCTGAGGAGGCAGTGGAACGACCCAGCGCTACTGTTTTCTACACGGGTGATCGTGGGCAAGTTACTTCAGTTCTCTGAACCTTATTCTGCAAAATAAGAATGATTAGAGTATTGCCAGCTAACGTTTATTGAGTGCTTGCCTGGACTAAGCACTATTTTAAGTGCTTTTCATGTAGTAAGTCATTTAATCTTCCTAGCAATCCTGGATAGGTGGTGTTACTATCTTCACTTCACAGAGGAAGAAACTGAGGCAGAGAAAGAGGTTACACAGCTGGGAATTGGCAGGGCTGGAATCCAAGCAGGCAACAAGTTTTGCTTCAGAAGCCGTATGCTTCCCCCGAACACTCTATGACCTGTCTGGGGTTCTCTAACTCAAAGTGTTGCTGGCAGATTCAATGAAATCACATAATAACTGCCTGGCACACAGTAGGCGTTTAATACATGCTGGTGTCTTTTACTGCTGCTTCTCCATGAATAGCTGAGCGTGTCTCACATATAGTTCTAAAAGGCAATATTATATTTCTGTCAGAGTTAACTTTCCACTGATAACTATTAAAACTACTTCACACCATAGGTGCAAGCCCATCTGAATCTGAGAGTGAATTTCAACTGTTTGTCAGTAAAATGAATGTTTTGGTCCTTAGAGTTGGTATAAACATGGCCAGATGGTATCGGCCTTGCCTGATGGACTCTAATCAGGCAAGATTTTACAGTTGAACGGCGCAGGATCAAAACAAGGCCATTAAAAGTTGGACTCTTCCTGGAGTTCAAAGGGACCCTGTTGCTTTCTATTTAGGAACTCACGAGTCTTGCAGTCATAAAGCAACAACATAAAGCAAGCTCCCAACTCTAGTTCTTCGGGCAATTCATCCAGGCTGCCCCCTGCAAGCTGCTCGGCCCACCAGATCTGCACTGGGGAGTGCGTTAAACACGGCTGTGGAATGATGGGGTGGAGGACGCCATAGACACCTGGCCCTATGACAAGGTAAGTCTCCTTTTTGGTAACCAGCATAGGAAGGAGGACAACAGCTACCAATGGGCTGTGCTTCCCACGTGCACACTGGGAGCATCGTCACCAGGTCCTCAGTTGGTGCAGACTTCACGTGTGGATGGTGACCATATGAAAGCTGACATGTGGCCGGGCGCAGTGGCTCATGCCTGTAATCCCCACCCTTTGGGAGGCCAAGGTGGGCGGATCACTTGAGGCCAGGAGTTTGAAACCATCCTGGCCAACATGGTGAAACCCGTCTCTCCTAAAAATACAAAAATTAGCTGAGTGTGGTGGCACATGTCTGTAATCCCAGCTACTCAGGAGGCTGAGGCAGGAGAATCACTTGAAACCAGGAGGCAGAGGTTGCAGGGAGCCGAGATTGCACCACTGCACTGCAGACTGGGTGACAGAGCGAGGCTTCATCTTAAAAAAAAAAAAAACCAAAAAACAAACAGGCCAGGCCCAGTGGCTCAGGCCTGTAATCCCAGAACTTTGGGAGGCTGAGGCAGGTGGATCATGAGGTCAGGAGTCCAAGACCAGCCTGGCCAACATGGTGAAACCTTGTCTCCACTAAAAATACAAAAATTAGCCGGCGTGGTAGTGGCTGCCTGTAACGCCAGCTACTCTGGAGGCTGAGGCAGGAAATGGCTTGATCCCCAGGAGGCAGAGGTTGCAGTGAGCCAAGATCACACCTCTGCACTCCAGCCTGGGCGACAGAGCGAGACTCCATCTTGAAAAACAAAAAAATGTAAAACTGGCATGCTACAGACAATCCTATGCATCTAAATTATTTACATGGCCACAGCATGGCAGGGAGACGGGGCAAAATCCAGACAGGAAGGAAAGCCACTTGACAAGGGACAAACATGGTTACATCACAGATGCTTTAACCGAGTTTTCAAAGACTGCATGTTTCCTTCCATCTACTCAGCTCCTGAGTCCAGAACTGGAATTCATGGTTGAGAAACTTTCCTTTGCCTAGAAAGCCGGTGGGAGGAGGACGGAACAGAAGAAGAGACTGTTTATTATAGCATTTTTCTTCATTTGTTAGGATGAATGGCGTGCTCATTATAAAATGTTTAAACACTTACTACTAGAAGGTTAATGTTGAAAGTGAAATACTTACTGTCTCATCTGCCCCTCTGACTGCCAATGCTCTCCCAGGGGTGACCACTCTTCACAATTTGCAATGTATGTATGTATGTATGTATTTGAGATGGAGTCTCGCACTGTAGCCCACCAGGTTGGAGTGCAATGTTGCAATCTGTGCTCACTGCAATCTCTGTCTCCTGGGTTCAAGCAGTTCTCCTGCCTCAGCCTCCTGAGTAGCTGAGATTACAGGCATCTGCCACCACCCCTAGCTAATTTTTGTATTTTGAGTAGAAATGGGATTTCACCACATTGACCAGGCTGGTCTCGAACTCCTGATCTCAAGTGATCCGCCTGCCTCAGCCTCCCAAAGTGCTGGGATTACAGGCGTTGAGCCATTGCGCCCAGCCAACGTGTACTTTTTAAAAACACAAATAAGATCACACGGAACTACACTGTTCTGTGACTTGCTTTTTATTTATTTATTTTTTTACCTACCTACCTCGTGGTCTTTTCCACAGATATAGCACAATCTCATTCTTTTTAAAGGCTGCATGTATACTACAATACGAATCTACCAACATTTACTTAACCATGTGGCCTACTAATGGAAACTTAGATTATTCCCACTTTACTTTTCTTTTCTATTTATTTATTTATTTATTGAGACAGGGTCTCACTCTGCCACCCAGGCTAGAGTGCAGTGGCACAGTCATGGCTCACTGCAGCCTTGAACTTCTGGGCTCAAACAATCCTCCTGCCTCAGCCTCCCAAGTAGCTAGGACTACAGGCATGCACCACCATATCCAGTTAATTTTTTAATTTTTCTTTTGTAGAGACAGGATTTCACGATGTTGACCAGGCTGGTTTTGAACTCCTGGCCTCAAGCAATCCTGCCACTTCAGCTTCCCAAAGTGCTGGGATTACTGGCATGAGCCATCACGCCCGGACTAGTATTTTTGCTGTTGGAAATATTTCAGTGAACATCCTTCTATGTATACTTCAGTATTTCTGTTAGATTTTTGCTATATTCTGAATGTTTATGTCACCCCCAAATTCATATGTTGAAACCTAATTTCCAATGTGATGATATCTGGAGGTGGGAACTTTGGAAGCTGATTAGGTCATGAGGGTGGATCCTTCACGAATGGGATTAGTGCCCTATAAAAGAATTTCAGAGAGCTCCCTCACCTCTTTTGCCATGTGAGACCACAGCAAGAACAAGCCTGTCTATGAATCAGGAAACAGGTCCTCCTAGACAGTGAACCCGCTGACGCATTAATCTTGGATTTTCAGCCTCCAGAACTGTGAAAAACAAATGTTGCTTCAGCCATCCAGCCTATGGTATTTTTGTTAGAGCAGCCCAAGTGAACTAAGACAATCATGTTTAGAATTGTTGTTAAAGGGGGGAACTGCCAATATATCCACCATGCAAATCTAAAGACAACTCCCATTTTCTGAGAAGCTGCTTTGCCTTCTATTGCATGGCTATGGGTGATTCTCGAAGCTTGGGTACCGTGGAATAACCTGGGAAGCATAAACAAACAGATGCCCAGGTTGTACCAGATTCAACAAGCGTTGGGCACACTTAAATGTTTTTTTTTGTTTGTTTTTTGAGACAGGATCCCGCTCTGTCACCCAGGCTGCAGTGCAGTGGCGCGGTCTCAGCTCACTGCAACCTCTGCCCCTCGGGCTCAAGTGATCCTCTCACCTCAGCCTCCCCAGTAGCTGGGACTACAGGCATGTAGCCTACACCCAGCTAATTTTTCACATTTTTAGTAGAAATGGGGTTTTACCATGTTGCCCAAGCTGGTCTCGAACTTCTAGTTTCAAGCAATCTGTCCGCCTTGGCCGCCCAAAGAGTTGGGATTACAGATGTGAGCCACTGTGCCTGGCCTTTTATTGCTTTTGTTGTTGACTTTGGTTTTTTGGGAGCAGCTCTCAGGTACTACCCTATTGGTGCATGACGGAAGCCGTAACACATTTCCTGCTGTCTGGTGGAGATCTGTGATTTCAGCTTAGGGATAAAGGGTTAGAATAATGCATTTGCTCTGTGTGCCCTCTGCTGGTACTGCGTGAGCAGACCACACATTGAATGCCTGCATGGGTGAGAATGTGTGGTCTCACCTCCCAGGACAAGCCCCTTGCAGACTTAACAGAGTGGTGATACTTCAGGGGCAGCGATGGTCAATCACGTTAGAATCACCCAGGGAACCGTGAAAATAAAAATGCCTGGTCATGGGCTTTGACAATGGGGTTTTAAAAACACTCTCCAGGAGATTCTACACATAAAGCCAGTGTTAAGAACCTATTCTTTGGGCAGAAAATTGGCCCAGGAACACAAAGTCCACAGAACCATGTGTCACTCTGGTGTCTTCTGTTCTAGTAGTCTATTTCAGAAATTCCCAGCCTGCCTGAATCTCAGAATTGGCTTCAAGCCAGTCAAAAAGATCCTGGGGACCCACCCCAGACATAATCAGAATATCCCGGGGTGAAGTTCACTCAGGTCATTACTTACAACCCAACAAAGAGAGAATTTTTGGTTTTAATGAGGTTAAGGTCAAATCATTATGACTTCTTAAGACATTTTTTAGCCACAGGCTTTATGTCTTCATGGGGAAGGGAGTCACAATCACTGAAGAACTGATAGGCAGGTGAAGGCAAGGTACAGAAGGAATGAATAGCCACGTGTAACTGCTATGCACATTTCTCTTCTATATAATTGAATATTCACTACACTTCTTGAGCATAAATAGTGAAACTCCGTTATACAGAGAGGACACTGAAGGGGAGGCGGTTAGTTCTCTTTGCAGGCATCTAGTGGGAAGCCTTCCAGGCAGAGGAAACTGTCAATGCAAAGGCCTTAAGGCTGGAATATTCTTGATGACTGGAGAAGAGCAAGGCAATCGTGACCTGGGGGAATGATCTCCACAGAGTTGCGGATGAGGGAGGAAAGGGGAGGGTGGATTAGGCCATCAGCCTTCACAGCAGAGTGATGTGATTCTGTTTTTAAGCATCACTTTGACAGCTGCGAAAATGGACTCCAGTAAAGCAAGGATGGAAGCACAGGATAGAAGCATCGAAGTGAAGGGCCGGGCACGGTGGCTCATACCTGTAATCCCAGCACTTTAGGAGGCCGAGGTAGGTGGATCCCTTGAGTTCAGGAGTTCGGGACCAGACTGGCCAACATGGCAAAACCACGTCTCTACTAAAAAGAGAAAAATTAGCTGGGCATGGTGGTGGGTGTCTGTAATCCCAGCTACTCGGGAGGCTGACGCAGGAGAATCGTTTGAACCTGAGAGGCGGAGTCTGCAATAAGCCAAGATCACACCACTGCAACCCAGCCTAGGTGACAGAGCGAGACTCCATCTCAAATTAAAAAAAAAAAAAAGGAAAAATAACCACTGTTGACAAGAATGTAGAGAAACAGGAACCCTTGTCCATTGCTGGTGAGCGTATAAAATGGTACAGCCACTGTGGAAAAGTGGCAGGTCCTCAAAAATAAACGGAATTACCACAGGATCCAGTAAATCCACTTCTCAGTACGTACCCAAAACAACTGAAAGCAGAGACTCGAACAGATACTTGTATACCAGTGTTCATAGCAAGAGCCAAATGTTCATTCATTAACAGTCAAAAGGTGACGATAACTCAAACGTCCAACAGATGAATGGACAAACAAAATGTGGCATATACAGACAATATACACTGCACCCATAAATGTATTTAACCATAAAAAAGAAATAGCACTGACACATGCTACAACATGGATGCACCTTGAAAACACTAAACCAAGTCAAAGAAGCCAGATACAAGCCAGCTGTGCTGGCTCACGCCTATAATCCCAACACTGTGGGAGGCCGAGGTGGGTGGGATCACTTGAGGTCAGCAATTTGAGACCAGCC